ATGCTGCATCCTGCCCAAGTGCATACGAGGTAGCTGTACCGGAGAATTTCAGACAGAAAGATCATCTCGTCACACATCTTACCTGGAGACTTTGAAAAGAGTAATAATGTCTTTAGGAAAGGAAACTTCAAATAAGCTTTTTTTTCACCCCTTTGTACATATTTGTAGGACTGAAAAGAGCCTGCCTGTGTGGATTTTCTTTTTGGCTGAAACACAATTTGTCTTTAGCTTTTCAGAATATTATTCTATATCATTTGTAAGTTTTTACCTGAGTGTAAACACTACATTTAAGGCAGATAAGCTCCAAGGGCTTGGCTTTTTGGCTTTCAGAGCAGGTATGCTGAGACTCACATGGTCTTAGTACACGTCCAGCTTTCTGAGGTTGCCATTGAAACCTGTTATGGCCTTTAAGAATGAAGACCTTGCCTACTTTATGTGCCTATGACACTTTGTGGAAATTTGCACAAGGGCATGGGCCAAACATGCCGTTCTTTCCATTTTTCCTGCCTTGTCTCGCTCTCTCACCTTGAAGATGATTGCATTTCAGTGATGAGTTAAGTGACTTCTAATTTCTGAGGAATTGTACCGCATGTATGCATAAAGTACACTGGTGGAGAATTGCAGAACAGGCCATCTGTTTTCTGTTCTTGGGTTGAATTGCAGTTTGTCGTGTCAGTCAGTCACACATCACCTGTGTACCTGCTTTCTTTCCTGTAGACCAGGATGATCACATCTCTATAGCAGGGAGAATTTATCTTCTAAACCTAATTTTTAGGATTCTTCAGAGGAAAACTGTAAAGTAGCCGAGGAATCAGGTTAGCACTAAAATACAAGTTATTTATTACCGTGGCCATGGGCTGCAGGAAGTCATTTTGTAGAGGAGCTTACCTTCACACCCACGTGGAACTTCAAGGCTCTAAGCCCGCTGCCTTAAAAGATTGATCTCGATTTGATGATGATTTAATCAGTATCGTTTGCCTGGATTAGAGGCCTGATCCTAGCTCCTCCAGGGCCTGATGTTGCTGCTGCTGTCCCACGTAGTCTGTGACTGTGGCTACCCCTGTAGCAGACCAGAGAAAGTTTTAAGTGAGATCTAGCAGTAAAAACGAGCTCTTCTCCCATGGCCTCAGGCTGCCCTGAGTCAGCTATTGAAGTGCTGGGTTTGCTCAACTTTTCCTCTGTTATCCTGGCAGGGCTGGCTGGTTTGTTTTCAAAGGTTTTGCAGCTAGTCTTGAAAACCTAATTCCTGGGAAAATCTAGGCCTGTTCCATAGGCTTTTTTTAAATTATTATTATTTTGGTTGATAGTTGCAGAATGCTAACACAGTGTATCATATTAAGCAAACAACTTCAGTCATAATTATGAGCTGTTGGTTTCCTGTCCATTCATTGTAAGCTCTGATGCTGTGCTTTTTCTTCCATTCCCCATCTTAAAAAATTTTACACTTTAAATTCAAAGTTGTGTTGCGAGTCTAAAAGTGTACTGGTAAATCTGTGCTTTTCCTAGATGCCCATTTTATTTTATTTTCTGTTTTGGCTTGACAGAGTTGCTATTTTAAATTTTAGTTAAAAATTGCTTCATTTATTATGAGAATATATAGATGGTATATGTGGCACAGGTAATGACAAGTTGTTGGAAGGTCAGAGAGGAAAAATGGTGAGGTTTTTTTATATATACAGTAAAATATAGTTACTTGATGAAGCTTCCATTTAAACTTTGTTTGCAATTTTATAACTCTAAGCTTTGTCTACATAGTTTCAGCATGCTTATAATCTACTTATGAAGAACATGTTTTTCTTTTGTGGGAGTTCTCAGGCATTTGTCAACACGAAAGGTTGAATAAACCTCTCTGGCTGGCAGATACTTCAACACCTACCGCAGGGGTGGGCTCTGGCTTTAAGTGGAAAGAAGGATATAAACTTTTATTATGGAACTGAACACAGTGTGAGGCCAGTGTCTCTTCAGTTCCCTGGGTGGCCACGTCAGTTATGTCACGATAAGAACGGGCTCCCTCTTTGACGTACCTGAAGGAGAGATGGGAGATGGAGCTGTGTCTGGTTGTTTCTTTATATGAGCATAATTTGGGCCCCGCTGAAGAAATTGCACTGTTCTTTTTCTGTGCTTGGACTACAAAACATGAGAAAAGTATATGAGAGAGACTGAAACAAAATTGGTCCTTTCCTCAGCCAGGTTATGGGTTTGCTCTTGAACACCGTATAGGTAAGCACGCTTGGGGATGGTTCTTGGGTTTTGCTGCATGCAACCCAAACTTGTCCTGCAAAGCAGTCTCCTGCTCTACAGCCTGCCCAGCTGGAATAAAGAGGACAATGACAAAACGAACTGCATGTCAGCAAGACTGCAGCGTGACTGTGTGACAAGCAGCTCAGGTGGCACCTTGTGGTCTGGTGTGTTACTGTTTGCTGCAGTGGAGACACCAAGGCAGGGCAAAGGCCAGAGAGGACCCCTTATCTGCCATCCCCTATCCATCCCCTGAAAATATGACCCTATTCTGACAGCTTATGTCTGATTAGTGGGCTCGGACCCCACAGATGTCACAGAAGTCTTTGGGATTGGAATTGAGCAGAGCATCTAATTCCAGGCAAATGGACACACAACAAATCCTTAATCTACTGGGAGCTGATTGGGGCAACTGTTCATACAGCAGTAGCTTATATTCAGGCAAGGTACTGTCTCACCACATCCACTTAAAAAAAAAAAAAAAAAAAAAAAAAAAAGAGAGAAATTAAATTTATTTAAGAGCATTAAGGAAAACTATTACTGCCAATTATTACTTGTGACTCGAAAAGCAGTCCTTTGCCTATTGCAGTTTGAAAACTGTAGGATTAGACAGTGCCACTGTGGTGTATTCACAAGGCACTGCCATGGCTTCATCTCTCGCTGATAGTGTGTTGAAGACTTATCCCAGCCACGGGGAATAATCTCATTTCAGGGTTGTTGCTGTACAGCATTACACCTGGAGTAAAAGGCCCATTAGTCAGAATGCAGGACACAAGTTCCCCACAAAGAAATTAAAGAGGGTGGTGTCGCCTGGAATAGGCTTCTGGATTTGAAACTAGCCTTTTGTCTTTTCCTGGACACCCAGCTCTTAGGAGTGGGATGGTAGAGGGGATACTGCAGATGTCCTTCTGCTTCAGGGAGCTTATTAATACTACAGCAGGATTGAGAAATCCCTGAGCAGGATTATGGGTTCATTATTTGAGGTCTGTGGAAACTTGTACGGAAACGTGGTCTTTGCTTCCTCAGCTGCTGAGGCAGCCGGTACAGCTTGAAGGGGGGATGTAAGAGGGTCCCATGCTTGTACATTAGGTATTTATTTCTGGTTAATAAAGATGCATAAGCAAAACTGAAAGTATCTCCAATACTGCTTACCCAAGTACTGTGCCTTACAGATAAAGCTAGCTACCTGAAAGCTGAGGGGTGCTAGGGCAGTAGTACATTACAGAAAGGTAATTATGCAGTCTGAAGACTCTGTTCTTCTTCATTCATTCATGTCAAGGAGCTGCAAGGCTGATCTCCCTGTAAAAAAGCTGTTAGGAATGTGCTCAGGGGTGTGGAAATAAGAGAGAATTATATATCTAAAGAGTTCTGCAGGGGAGAAATGGTCTTAACTTCTCTGATAAACTGAAATTTGGAGTGGAGAAAAGAGTTTTTTCTGCCTGGTGCCATCCAGCACCAGAATCAGCTAAACTTTAAGGGGTATAAGCACACATGAAACAGTTCCTTAAGGTTGTTACTTATAAAAGCGTTGGATGTAAGAAAAATGTCCCTCTCGTGGCTGAAGGAAGGGATGTTTCCATGCGATCTGTGTGTTAAATTTTACACAAGTACATTTAATCCAGTTTGGAATTCAGCATACAGAGTACCAAGAAGAAATGGTAGTAAGGTACTGCTTTTGGCAGCCTGGAGCACATTTTTAAGCTGATTGACGAAAATGACTTTCCGAATATAGATTCGCGGTCACTCTCCTCTAGGGTCTTGCCTATGATGTCAAGACTTTCTCCTAATGCAAAGTGCTCCTCTGCCAAACTGTATATATATAACTAGTGAAATCAGATTAGGGCTGAAAAGCAGGGTTGTCTGCTGTTACTCCAAGCTGGCGTCTGCTGCAAGCGATTTGTAGTTTTTCTCCTTTCAACGTTGTTCTCTTCCAGGACACAAGGAAAATCCTATAAATCTTCATCTCTCCCAATTATCCTGGGTCAGGGAGAGGCTTTTACTTAAGCAAGTGGTATGTGACCAAGTGCTCTGATTGATGAAGAGCACATTCAAGAGGGAGATTAAAGCAGCTGGCATACAAGATAATTTAACCCTTAATTCACAGGCTGTCTGGTCAGCCACGGATACCCAGTTCTTTCTCAGTGCATATATGCAATAGGGTTAGAGATTGACTTATAGTTTAGCATATTATATAGTTTTGTCATCATACTGCCTCAGTTTTCAATGATTACTGCAATTATACTTCCTGAAATTCATTTTAAATTCTATGTGAAGTTGAGTCCAAAGGAATTGTTACTGACTGAGCTTCTAAAGCTTTGTTGAGTGCAACTACTGCTCTTACAAGTTAAGATCCAGCTCTCCTTTCCATGAGGAGATTTGCCTTACTATTTTGGTTTTCTGAATTTTCTAAAATTTTGCCTGATTGATCAAAGGCAGTTTCACTCAGTCAAACTACTGCTGGTCTTGATGGCTGTCAGGAGGCAAGTTGCTCTCTCTTGCTCACTTCGCTTCTCTTTTTCTTTAATGAAATAAGTACTTCAGTAAAAAAAATCAGGGAGGGAAGTAGTACGAGTGTGGAAGATCTGCCAGATCATCATTGGTGCATTTAATGTCTAACACATTTACAAGTTGTTGATATAGTCACTGTATTGTATATATTAATGTACTGAAAAGCATACAGCATTTGGACCGTATTATCCTGACCACCTGTGCCCCAGAAGCACTCCTGTTGTACTAACACCAGACCTTTCTTGTGCCTTCAGTATGTCAGGAAACAGTCTGGGAGGTCTTCAAGACGTTCTGGGATAGACTGCCAGAGCGTGAGGAGTATCACACCTGGATGAGCCTCTGTGAGGAAGGAACGATGAGCATCTTTGAAATGGGCAGGAACTTCAGTCAATCTGAGGAGCACCGAAGTCTGATTGTGAAGGTAGGTGCAGTACCATGTTGGCATTTTCTCAGGAGCAAGGGCACGCTGTCTCATTGCACAGCACCGCTTGGCTTATGGCAGGCAGCAATGTGTGGAGCACTGGAAATATACAGGCATAAATATTCCCATCTTTTGGGGCCGTAGTTCAGAGATCAGTTCCAAACATAAAGTTGTAGCTGATCTGATGGATGGAAAAGTAACAGTGATGCAGAGAACGTTGCTTTCAATAGGTGTTTCTTACAAGCAGAGGATGTCCAGAGCCTTGTCTGAAAAGGCCTCAGGCAGGCTGTGGCACATTGCCCTCTGCAGCATGTAGCTGGCTCCCTGCCTGCTGCACATGAGGATGCCTTCAGTTCAAGTGGTGCTTCGAAGCCAGAAGTTCAGAGCTAAATTTCTGATGCTGTTGGGATGTATGGTGAAATTACTTGTTGGATATTTTACGTTGCTGTAGATTTGTGACGTCTGTGCACTGCAGCCTGACTGTGGCTATACACAAAAAACTTTGATGTCTTATGAAGGCAATGAATAACGTTGTCACCATGGGGAGCTGCAGAGATTAAAAGCAGAGCACAAGTGTAAAATAATATAATAAATTGCTGGGTATCTTGGTGTATTCTGTTTTTTCAGTTGAAGCAAGCTTATTTTACGTTAAAGAAAATAAAAGGAGCATTATGCTAAACTTAAGAGTCCTATCTCAATATGAAGATGTCTGTTCAGGAGTTTGTATGAATTAAAATTAATTAAATTTTAAAGTTAAGTCCTTACTACAAAATTAAACACTTATTTTTGTACACATCTAAGATAAAGTAGATATCTTAATTTCTTTGGATAAAAGGCTGTCTTAATGTGTATGGTGGTTTATGGATCTTCTTTAAAATTACAATTTCTCCTATATTTGGAAGCTAATGAATGAGTAGTTTTATGAAATCCTGAGATCTCTTAAATGTATGATCCTATAGAATCAGTAACGTTCTGCTAGTATGGATATGCTGACATTTTCCTTTCTGCTTTCTTGTGGACTGTTGTGCTAGGAATGAGCACTGAGGATGTGAGTATGAAAACTACTGTGGTTAATGGGAAGAGATTTTTTTTTTTTTTCTGAGCCTGCTTGCTAGTCTTCACAGGTTGATGCTAGCCAAAGTTTGCTTCTGTGATGTCTCATGGTACTGTTGTCCTTAGAAGACTGCAAAAAGATGTAGACACACAAAATTCATGTGAAGGTTTTATGTGCCCAATAAGTGTATCATTGCTTTCTGTAAGATTTTGGTAAAGAGGTGATCTATAGTGAGAATTTACTAAAAGAAGGAGTTTGTATGAATTAAAATTAATTAAAGCTAAACTAAAGAAATTAGGGTGATTCTTGAATGCAGGATGAGGCATCTAATTTTCTGCTCCTGTTTTTCCTATTTGGATATTGCCCTGCAATGTTATGGTGGAAAGCAGATAAAAGTGGTCAACATTGGATGATTTATTCAGATATTTCCATGTAATTTAGGTTTCCTTTCTCCTGTAGATGAACATATTTCCCTCTGCTTTCCAATATTCTGGAAAAAGACTGCTCATCCTTCTATTTGCTTTCAGCAGTCAGTAAAAGGTGACTGTTATATGGGCTGATCTGAGGGGACGCTAGTCTGCACGAATGGGAATTTGATGTTATCACTAGTGTGTTTCACACAGAATGTCACAAATCTACCAGGTGACTTTTTTGAAAAACAAACAGAACAACCACCTTCACTCAATGTAAATTTGAGCCAGATTGAAGGTGAGGGTGCTGTGTTCCATCCCAGGTCAGCCAGCTTCAAAAGGTCTCACAGTGTATTTTTTAATATATAGGTCAGAGTGTGCATTTAATTTCTCTCTGTAGTACTGAGTCACTCTTTCTCATAGGCAGTTAGTTATGCATAACATGTTTGGCAGTGTGTGGAAACCTCTTCAAAGCAGCTCTGAGAATATTCAGTCCAAACAGAATATTAAGTCCAAAGCACTTATGACTTGCTTTTCAGAATATCCTTCCTCCTGCTAGTTGCTTGCTCCAGTTTAATGCGTTGCTAAGAGCTGGGGCCCAGCTCAGCCTGTGGGACCGGGTGCACTTTCTAAAGCCCTGTGTCCTATCCTGTTCTTGCCTCTTTCACCAGCTGAGTTGACCACGTTGCATGGCTAAGCCATTGCCATATTTGTGGGAATTTTTATCCTCTCATTACAGCATGTTCATTCATTTGCTTAGTCAGCTGTTGCCAAATATACTTTTCCATTCCTTAGGCTTGATTCTACAAAGCTCCAAGCACTTCTCCCCTAAGGGCTGCCATTTCACAGCATGCACAGTACCCTGTAGGGTGATGTGTATGTGTGAATAGCCCACCAGTTCAGTTGCTTGAAAGAAGAATCACTTCTGCATTGCACTGAAGGAAGGCAGCATACGTGGTTGGTGGCACTTCAGCCTGTAGATTCTTCATCTGGCCATTAGGTGCTTCATTAAATACTCTTGGTTTCTAATCTTCCTTTGCTCTCTTGTGTCTTGTGAATCATTTGTGGTTAATTTCAACAGTTTAGTTTAAAGCCTGCAATTGATCAAAGAATTTCTGCTTTTTTTTTCTTTTGGTTTGTTTTTAGTGTTGTATATTGGCTATTATTGCCCCAGCATTGATCTGCAACCTTTTTTGTATTCTGTACGCTGGCAGTTTCTGGCAGTCTTATTCTAAGACTTAAATCTTATTCTAAGTATTATTGCTTTTTGGTAGATACTAACAAGATGAGTTTTCAGAAGTGCTGCATGCCATGAATTTTCCCTCTCAAAATGAGTTCAGTGTATCTGAAAATTAGGCAAAAAAAAAAAAAAAAAAAAAATCAATAGAGTTTGCTTTCAATAAACAGCAGTTCAGCAAAATGATTGCTTTCATGGTAACTTTGTTGTGGTGAAGACTTTCTGTGTTGAGTGGTGCAATTAAATGACACTTTGTTAGCCTTCCTTTGTGGTTTTATTCCTTATCCTTTCCTCGAATCCCTGGTAATTACACCTACAGGTATTGCAATGTCCTCTGTAGTGTGGGTTAGTTCAGGTAAAGAACAATTCTATTTCTCTTACTTTTGATGCAAATTCTTACTGCTATCAGCCTGAACTCCAGTTCAAGCTCTCAGAGCAGCTCTGGTCCCAGTTCACATGCTTTTTTTTTTTTTTTTTTTTTTTTTTTTTTTTTTTTTTTTCCCCAGGAAAATGTTCAATCTCTAGTAGTCAAAGAAGCTTGACTAATTTGGTAGAGGTGAAGGCTTACGTAGCTGGATACACTCATTGGTCATCAGGTGGTTTCTATGGTAAGAGAGGTGTGCCTCAGAAGGCAGTGCTTCTGCTACTCTTTAATAAAAAAAGTCCAGATAGTTTTTGAAAGATCTCAGAGGGGAGAAAAGCAAGCAGAAGTATCAATGGATTTCCCAAGGGCCATGTGCTTTTTGCTGTGAGATTGAGGCACTGTAGTCCAATGAGCAATCTGCGTGCCATTTGTAGGAACATCTACAGCTGGGCTATGGTATCTCTTCATGAGGTACCCACATAGGTGCAGGGCACGTTTTTTGGCTTTATAAATTACAGAAATAATGCAACAGTTCTGGAGTAGCTGGGGGAACTGTTTTGACACCTCTTTCCCTGTTCTTAGGGGAGGAATTTGTGTGTTCTAGGGATTCTTCAAGGAAAGACTTTCATCTATAAGAATTGGCTTCCCTGGCTATTTCTTTGTACAGTTTTTCTTTACTTCTGTGCAACCTTTGTCATGGAAGGAAAATGGGGGTCTGAATTTTCATATGCTGCCTATTGTAGTAAATAGGATTAAGGGCGAGCCACTTGTTGGTGCTTCTGTGGTGTCTTTTAACTGCTGGCGCCTGCTCACCAGGAGTGCAATCAGGAGGTGGCCTGGGTGTGCAGTGAGCTCCCAAGCTAGGCTCCGCCAGTGCCCTGTCTTCACAGACAAGATGCTCAGCAGAACAACACAAATGTCTTTGTCTGTAAGGCGTTAGGGTTGAGCAAAACACCAAACTGTTTTTTTTTTTGTTTTGTTTTGTTTTTTTTTTTACTTCTGTTTTCTTCTAGTATTTACAGACAGCAGAGTTTGTAATACAGCTTTGTCTGAAAGAGGCAGACAGGAAGCCAAAAGGCAGACAGGAAAGCAACGAATCCCCTAAGCAGTGACAGGAGGCACTGAGCTGCTAAAGGTCAGCTCAGAAAGCTCCTGGGCCAAGAAACAAAAACTACAGTTGTGTTGACTCAGCAGTGCATTTGTTCAGTATTGACTTTCCAGTCCAACAGCAGCCCTGTATGTTTCAGTCTGTGTTTGGAGCACCGACTAAATGCTTCTGGCTACTGCAGCAAAACACCTCCTTTAGCACGCCAAAACGGGCACGTAGCAACGGCATCCGATCCTGCCTGGATTCTGAGCTGTGTTCAAAGCCAGGAGGCAGCACCCCATTGATCCCGGTCATTTTTAACTGCTGTCTCCCAGTGCTGCTGCAATTTCTGACCTCATGCAGTAGGTGGTTTTGTCTGCCTAAGGTTTCTGTGAGGCAGAAAGACCTCGTCTGCTTTCTCTCCTCTGCCTGTTGTGTTCTGCCTGATCCTCCTTGCGAACCATGTGTCTCTTATGGTTTAATCAAATGTCTTAATTAGTTTCCAGGATCTTTTTGATCACTGACTGAGATACAATAATATTTTTTTCTTTATATAGTGTATCTCCATGTTCTTCTAAATCTGAAAAAAAAGCAGATCTCTTCCGTTCTTTTAACACCCTTCCTTCCTCTCTCCCTGCCTGCTTAAGGATACAATTTTCTTCCATCACCCTCCTTTGAGTGATTTTTTCATATTTCCTTCACCTTTTTCTTACCCTCACACTTACTGTTCTCCTATTCTCCTATTGACTTTGGCTCTTCTTGCATTGCAAAATGTAGGCTTGTCTAACTTTTAAATAAAACAATGACAGCAAAACACAAAACTTCCCACATGTGCAAATTTATAAACCCTAGTTCTTTCTGCAAGTCTTGCCTCATCTCCTTTCTACTTCTTAAACTCTGTAGTAAAAACTGTTTCTGTGTAAATTCTCTCTGTTGCCACTCTCGTCTAGTTCCAGCATACATCTTGCTGTTCAGTCTCCCTTGACTGCTGACACGGTTCAGAAACTGTCAGCCGTGAGGTCTATGCTTATCTCTTTGTATGCAGAGCTCAAAAACAATACTTCATCCTCATCAGCCTTGTCTGATCAGCTCCTTTCCTTTGCAAATCTGGAGTTGTTGTTTTCCCTATTTTGCATCCTGTTTTTAGGTAGCATTGCCGAAGACACGCTGAGGAATCATTTCTATGCTGGGAGTTCACCTCTGCTGTGCAGTTGATTCCTCCTGGACAGACTGGACCTTTAGCTAGCTCCTGACACCTTACCATGGATCTCTAGCCTTTACTTCAAGTTGGATGTAGCTAAAACTACTTTTTTTCCACTAAGGCTTTCCATCTCTCTCTGCTTTTGCTCACTGTAGACAATATTTTCTCGTTATCTGTCAGGACTGTGTCGCAGAGTACTGCTATCCATTCTGCTCTTTCACACCAGCTTCAGTTCTGGACTTTATCTACCTCCTTGAATCCCCAACTAATGCCTTGGCCTTGCCTCTGTGAGAGCACAATTCTGCAGCATGCTGTGGGGGGGACCAGGGCAGGCAAAGAAAGAATCATTTCTTTGTATGATGTTCCTATGGCAAATGATGTGAACGGGTGGGTTAAATCAAACATGCTTGCTACAGTCCTGCATAGATGAGATTAAACTAATATGAGATTATCAAAGATCTCCTTGACATTTCCTCCACCCTTTTCTCCTGCCTGGAATTGCCTCCAAGAAAGATATCTCCTGTGCATAAGGTTTGCCTCTTAGGATCAGGCAAGAGTATCTGATACAGCTGGTTTTCTGCAGGTTCATAAGAGAAGCTCATCCATATGGTCAGTACTGCATGCAAGTTTATGCTAGTCTGTATTTAATGCTATGGACTCTAAATAGTTTTGTGATAGTTTTGTGTTAAATAAAACTAACTGCAGTGTGTTGAGAAGGGTAAGCACTAGTGCAACTGACACAAAACTCAGCTCCCAGCTTTAGAAGAATTGGTACGTGTACGATTATGTTACAAGTGTCTCAGGAGAACTGATTTTATGCAAAGTATCTGCCAGAGGCAGCTTCACTGAGTAAAAGCCAAGCCTTCAAGCTGTGGTGTGGCTACCGCTGCTATGTGGAACTATTTATAGATGACTTCAAGTACTCGAAGGGTAGAGATGTTAATTAATCCCTGCAGATCCTTTTGCGGTAGGTAGGAGCATGTTTGTAACTTCATCTTGCAGATGATGGAACTGAGTCAGAGAGGCGAGGTAATTTGGCAAAGGCTCTTCTGTACTAAGTGAGAAACCAAGCCCAAACTAGAACTCTGGAGCTCTTGGCTTCTAATTAGAGGGAAAAGGTGCCTATTTGCCTTAAAACTCAAGTGTATCAGTGCTTGCCCTCACCCCAAACTGGAATGCAAATTAGAGATTTAAGGGAGAGGAAGGCAATCACTACAACATGTTGCAGACTGTGATAGTTTAGCCACAGGGGATGCTTTGTTTTCATTTGCACATTTCCAGCTGAAAACAAAACAAAACAAAAAACCACCACCACCACGAACAACAAAAAAAACACATACATTTAATGTTATACAAAAAAAGTCTTATGTTTCAGAGTGAGTATTGAAATAATATATTTTTTTTGAACTTACAGTAAACCATGAGATTTTACCTGTGACATAATTTGCAAGATGATAATCTCTCTAGAAGTTTTGTAGTGGGATATGGATTCTAATGGATGCCTGATATTTCATTGATCAAATCATCCGTAATTTACAGTTTGTGCATTTTCTTTGTTGTTTTCATAAAGCTGCACAGCACAGGTAGGAAGCAAACAAAGGTAGGAAGGGTGACAATCTTTACTTTTATTTCTCAAACAAAGCTGTTGTTAAATCCGGTGGGAGATTTTGTCTTAGAAAGAATGACGAAAAGACAGGTCATTTAGTCATTTAAAGCATGTAATCCATCAAAGTTACTTTATTTCACAAAAGAGGTGATTTGTCATTGAATGAATATTCTGTCCTGAATGAGGTGAATTAAGGGATAATCCAGCCACATGAAGAGGCTGTCATTCGATTCATGCAGTATTAGGCTTTCCTAGTATACTACAAAACTGGGTGAGGACTGAAGAATTTGATGCTTTTTTTTTTTAATATAGATGTGGAGACAAAATGTGTCATGTTTGTTATAAAATAATAATGAGGCATTTCAGGTTTGGTCAGTTCTTACGATTTATCAGATAGAAGATTTTGCAATAGCAGGATGTACTGGGTAGGTCCTGGGACCTGGGCTTGAGAAAGCTGGATGCCACCAGTTCCTCAGGCAACCCCACAACAGAGTTTTGGCCAATTATACCCCTTGCTGGGGAGTCTCCTTGTTCTACAAAATGACAAAATGATCAGGGTTATACTGACCTCTGCTGTCAGTGGCCTTTGTGGCCTATGGAGCACAGCCGTTGAGTACAGACTACCTGTTGGTATTAAAAAAACGGGGGACCCTAATAACTGGGTTTGGTTTTAGTAGCATTTAAGAACTGCTTTTTTAATGAACAAATACCTTTTACTAAAAGACTTGCTTCTTGTGTATAAATTTCCAAAAGCTTGGAGAGAGGGAATCAGTCTCTCTTTTCCTTGCATATACCAGTGCACTGAAGCTGAGTGCAGGCACCATGCATATTCCTTGAAAATACCAAAACTCCAGTAGATTTATTAGCCCTGCATTGATTGTGTAAAGAAAGCCAGCCCAATAAATCACCAAACAATCCATTTTCCCCAGAAAGCAGTGAGAAACGCAAATTCTGTGTGGACAATGCTCATGTAAGTATTTTATGTTTTGTTTACATCGGTACAGCATTAGGACACAGCATTGTTCCTCAGCAGCACTCTTTCCACTGCAGAATGCTCAGAATCTCCTCCACTTCTTGTGGGGACTCCACAGAAACTCCTGTGACCTCTTTCTGGAATCAATTTCACTGCTGCTATGAGGATTTTGGTGAAAATTTGTCAACTGTGTAGCCCTGCCTTAGCCTTTATACATCAATTTATGAAAAAATGTCACCCCTGTCACTTGTATAATCCTAACCAAAGTGTTCAGATTAATCCTACTACATTAATTTAAGCTGTAACTGTACTTAGAAAAAATGGTTTTAAATCAATAGATGAGTAGCAGAAATAATGTATTTCTTAAGAGCTCTTACTGAAAAAGTTTTCATTCCTAGCCTCCACGAGGTTGAGAGAACATTGTTTCTGCAGGAAAATGTAGAAATGTAGTGCATCTTCTGACAAACCTAAAGCTCTTTACAGCGTCTGTTGCTGTGTTTCAGTTGTATCTTGGAAATGCATTTTATTTTCAGCAAAAGCTGCATCAATAAATTTTGAACCTAGCAAATGAATATAGAACAAAGAAAAGACCATTCTTTCATCATAGAGGAGGAAAGAAACTGTATTTGACTTCTTCCTTCCACTTCTGATTCTCAAATGTAATAAGGGTCTGTTTCTTTGTTTTCCAGAAACTGTCCTATACAAAGGAAGCGATGGCTGGGTGAGTATCTACATTTGTTTTGCATTTTATTCTGTTTGGAGATAATAGCAGAGTTGAGTTGTGACATTTTGTAACCCCTTTCTCTTTTTTTTTTTTCTTTCTTGTCAGCTCCTGCAATGATTGGTCTTGTGGGTAAGTCATTCTCCCTTTTTAAATAGCCTCTTGATCAGTCCTTTATCCAGTTCTTGATGCAGCTGGAGTTGATTAACAAACTGAAGATGAACAAAATTCATCTCTGTGCAAAAGGGCTTATAGAAAAGTATTCAGTATGTTGGAGGAATCCTGTCTTGTATGTGAACTTCTCACAGGCTATCCTAGCACGCTGAAAATAACTCAGTCAATCTGGGGCTTGTACTTTTGCTTAAGTATGTCATCACCTTGTTGTCAGTCAGGCGCGTGTGCAGGCTATTTACCTGAAGAGGTTTAGTGGGGAAAATCTATTTCAAGAAAGAGATGTGTCCCCAGTAATTGTGTTAGTGTTCTGGTTATCCTGTGAACCTTTTGTAAAGGTAGACCTGGTCACTGTTACAAAAAGCAAGAAAAAAGGGAATGTTTCTGAAATGCTTTTTCAGAAAACTTTTGAAAGAGGTGCTCTAAAAACACAAGGAAGTTGGCTGTGTGGGCTTCTCACATTTTTAACAAGGGAATAAAAAGGAAAACTAGTCTGAATTTTGACTTGTTTTTACCAAAGCAAACCTGAACTTGAACTGTTATTTTTGTCATTTTGAACTGGAAGGCAAACCAGTTCAAACTATTATTACTCCATTCTCAGAACTTAATCTAACTGGTTATTTTTAGAGCAACTCAAACCCAAACAACCTAGTACTGAACTTGTCTGAAAAATAAGCAGCTTCAGTTGCTTTACAGACCCTGTGAAGCTATGACAAATGAATAATTCATTTACTGGAAAGGGTAGTCACTTAACAGTTCTTAAAAAAACATCTGACATCCCAAAGATTTTTTTTAACCGCGACATTATAAATTAAAATTAATAACATAAGATGGTAAGGGCAAAGGCAATGCCTAAAAGATTTTTTTTCTCTGTCCTATTAAGCTGAAGTTTCCTCTGACATGAGGACTCCCCTAAGCCCACTGGTCAATTGAGTAGTATAAATCTGTACAGAACTTGTTCCATTGAGAATGCAACATTGACCAAACTTGTATATGCTTTTTTTCTCAAAGAGAAAATAACAAAAATAAAAATCTTGTTCTTGTAAAATTAATGGGATGATTTCTTTCCCATTAGCGTCAGTTGTTCTCTAGACCTGCTCCTTAAGTGCATGGAACTACATATCATTTATCAGTAAATCTGAATTCAGAGTTGCAGTTACCTCAATTTGAATGTTGGAGGCTCTGAAAAAAAAATAAAAAAAAATGAATTTGAAAAGCCATTATATCCTTCATTGTGCTTGTTCAGGAAAACTAGTAAATGTAGAGCTATATGAGATGAATTAGTCAACACGAATATATCTAGAGTCATCACATGCACTGGGCTAAACATCCTAACCATGCAAAAAGACCAGCATTTGATTGAAAGGTGTGTTGGAGTGATTAATGTTGCTCTCATGTAAAAGCCATCCATCGAGTGCCTTGTGACAGACATTAAAGGGGCTCCAGCAAACAATTGGCAATTTTACCCAAATCAATTACTTGTGGAGCTATATTGCTTCTCTCTCAAAAATACTGCTTTTATCCAAACATATATAACTTCAGGTTGCTCATAGCTTGAGGATGGGATCTTTGTTATCGCTGCCAATTTAAACTTAAGTTTTGCTGTATCTTTTTCCTGTTAAAATTTTTGTTTAACTTGTGCTTGTATATCGTAGTTTCTATAGCACAGAGCGATAAAAGACAGAAATAGTGAGTTCGAAACAGGTAGATTTACTCCAGATAATGGAGCATCAGAAAGAAATTTGTATAATTTAGTTTGGCAATGTTTTATATATAATATATATATATATTATAATGTATATTTATATATATAAATATATAACATTATATATATATAATATAGTGTATATATATAAATATTACATAAATATATATTGCATGAATATATATATATAAATATTACATAAATATATTATATATATACATGTATACATGTAATATTTATATATATGTGCAGGGCTGGACATTAAATTGAACCTGGCTGTCTCACAACCTGGCTGTGACATCCCATCAGAATGGGGAATTGCCCAGGTCTCATGTCTCAAGGGATGGAGGGCCTACCCTAAAGCACCAGTTTTCAGTATCTAGATGAAATGCTTGGATGAGGCTTGTATATTGCCAGGGACAGTGGGCTTCCAGAAGATGCCTAGAGTGGAAGAATAACAGAGGTCCTCTGATGAACTCAATTTTTTTTGAATTACTGTGTAGAAACAAGTACTAGTTTGGGGACCTAGATTTCAGTCTGTTTTCCCACTGATAAGAACATAGGAATTTTTGCAGTAGGATTGTTTTCTCTTCTAGAGTGTAGGTCAGGCACACAAGACTACAGAGTGTTTCCTTTTTATGAGCCTTGACCATGTTTTTTCTGTAAAAGAACTTCGGGTTCATTTCCTTAATTTAGAGCTGATCTGGAACTGAAGACAGGGCCTTGATATCTATCGGTTATTTTAGCTACACTGCCTTCCTAGATCAAAGTGTAACTGTGCTGAAAGCTATCATCAGCTGTAGAACTGAAGCTGTGACTTAAATAATTTATCTCATAATATCCTACCACAATGTCAGTGCTGTGCCTCTGTCTAGGTGTCAAAAGCTGGTTTCAGCTAGTTAAATGCTAAGCTAGTTCTAGTGTAGCCTACAGGAAGGTGTCTTGTACTCGCGTGGTTCACTTCCCAGAATAACTCACAATCCGGCATTACTGACAATTACGTAACAGCAGGATGGGAGTTTGTTCCTGTAAGACTTGCACTTGCATGCACGTAGGTTAAACGCTCGGCTAGCCTAGCCTTTTAAGGAGTTGAGAGATTAAACTAAGTACCAGGGAGGAGAAAACCTCAAAGGAAAAGTAACATATGGGACACAATCTAGATTTGTATAGAGCAGCCCAATGGAAATCGTGGAGTCTTGCCTAGGTCGGAAATGTGGGAGCACTGCATCAGCTAAAGGCTTTTAATGATTTCTTTATTCATTAGGCCACTGTAACTTTGCATCATGGATTTTGCTGTGTTATAATATTGGAGGATGCCCCGTGACAATAGGACAGTCAGGACAGTCTCATTCATGCAAAGTCAAAAGCCGGATCTTGAGAATCAACTGAAGGCAAAGGAGTAACACAAAAAAGCTGCAGTAGAAAACCATACCTTTTATGTGAGGATGTTTCATGAATGCTGTATGAATAATAACATAAAGAAGAAAATACAAGGAGTATGGGATAGTTGGAAAGGTTGAATGTAATAATGTGCTATTTTTCAGTTCCTCAGAAGTGGCTATTAATGTCAAATAAAATGAAATAAATAGAAACATTTGTCGTTTCTGAGGGGTACTTGCTGATTGTGGACTTAGTGAAATTAGGCATGATAAATCATGTCCAGACCTCCTCCTTTCTGTGTGTGGTGTCTGATCTGAAATACATTGGCAAATTTAGGATCCATACTGCATTGGCGGTAGCAGCAATGGTTGATGGCGCATCAACTCAAGTATTGAACCTTTTCCTCTAAACGGGCTTGATGAAAGAAAAAGTGTTTGTCTTTCATGCCGGAATCATTTCAACTGCCTTCAGTGGGGTAGAAACATACTTGAACTCCTTTTCTGCCTGCATTTGGACTTGGCAACAATATTGCTTGTTTCAAAATTTTTTGAGCATCTGCACAGCTTTACTCTATGTGAAGATTTCCAGGCTGCTTCTCTGTAGTTGTGTATTTTCTTTTGTGCTCCCTACTGTCAGATAGCAATATGAAAGATTTGTCCTGCTTTAGTTAAAAACAAAAGAGGTAAAAATTAAAGAACAACCTAAATAAAAATTAAGATAAGTGCAAGTAGAATTTAAAAGAAAAGGAATCTAAATACAAGGCTCAGTCTTCCATTCTATACTTAGATAAAAATACTTCTGCAACTGCATACTTACTTAGTTCAAGGACCTGCGATTAAAAGTTTTAAAAAGAAGAAAATCAGACCATGAAGTTATTTTTTTCCCTTCTTTGAGCAAGGCTTTTCAATATAAGCACTGAAATGATAATGTTTAAGAAAATTAAGTGCTTGACATAGCAAATCACAGGACATTCAAATTGTTAAATAAGCTGATGAATATCTGTAACCTGTAGTATAGATCTGAAGATGGTACCTTCAGCAGTGGAGTTGAGGTGATGGTTAAGCCTGGAGGAAAAATATATAGAAAAATGCAGAGACAATCATAACTAATACACTTAAAAAAAATTAATGAGGGAGAATGGTATTGCTGATGCACCATTTGACAGGTCCAGAGTGGTGCTTCTCCTTAATAACATGACATGGCTGCATATAAGGACTTACTGAGGCTCTTCAATTGCTGGTGGGTCAACAAGACTCTTCTTTGGTGGACTTGGAACCTGCTGAGTCTTTTTGTGACATGACTGATGTCATGCAAAAGTTCTTGCAAGGGGATTTGAAAAGAGGCAATATAGGCTGTATCTGCAAGCTGTGTTTGCTGTACTGAAATGTATGGGCTATCCATAAGCACCATTTGTTTCAAATCAACTTGAGATCCTTACGAGCAATGTCCTAAATTTGCCTAGATCCAGGTGTCTAGCACACCTGTGTGATCTGAAACTAGTCATTTCTGCCAACTAGCGAAATGTAGTGTGGTGTTGTGCACTTTGCTACTTAGACATCTGCTTGTGCATATTCCCTCCTGCCTCTCCATACTTACATGTATATACGCTTGTATTTTGCTTACTGCTCAGCCAAGGTGGTCCAGAGCAAGACTTATGCAGGTAGGACGATAGAAATTACATTTCATACCTATTTCTCTCAAATTCACCATAAGCTTTTGCTGGAATATAGTTCCTCAGCTGGTGTGGCTTGCTTGTTTTAAGTATGACCAAAAGTAAAGCCTGGGGATCAGTGTGTTTGCTGTGATAAGTATTTTGAGTGGCTTCCTAAGAGATAACTAGTATTAGTGCCGTTTTTGAGGAGATTAATTAATTTGAAACATTAAAATGCTAAGGGTAAGTAGAAGGCAAAAAGAAAAAACAAATTTGTGCATAAAGTGAGGCTGGTTATAGCAGGGTTACTTTAAACAGTGAAAGTGGTAACTGTTAACATGACCAAATTCAGTTCTTGACTGGTCTTGCTTGATTAGATTGATTAGTGTTTTGTGGGGCTTTATTTAAGTCTTTGGCTTTTAATTTTCAGCCTGTTATGAGGCAGAAGTTTGCCAAAAAATGGCTAGGCCTTGGAGGCCTGTATTTAAAAGCTGAGTAAGAATGTATTCTTTGGTACTGACAAAGCATGTGGCCTGTTACTGCTTCAGGCCATGGCTTTGCTACACTCTAAAAGATAAAGGCCATATTCTTCCCTGGATTTTCATCACTTCCACAGTTGCTGAATGGCCCAGCTTTGTTGGTGGTTCCCAGCCCATGGCTAACCCAGTGCACAAGTCGGTGTGGCTGACCGACACGCTCACCTGCCTGAGCTTTGCAGCTGGGTGCACTGAAGCAGGCTGGTTTTCCTGTTGAGCCTCTCTAAGTATCATTCAAGTCTGTCACTGGGAGAGTGCTCTGGGACCTTTGAAAATTGGAAAAATTTGTTACAATATGTCTAAAACTGGTAATCTACTCAGGAAGTAGTACTCTACTCTAGAACATTTCTTTTAGGCTTTTCCATTTACAAACTGTTCCTCTATCTGAAGTGTAATTTATACCACAGAATTCTCCCTGTTTTTTTCTTGCTTACTTTGAGGGTGTTTCCCTCAAAAAACAACTTTGTTAAAATTGATCCCGTGGTACATAAGCAGGCGAAATTATACTGGGTGGTCGCTGAGGGGCTGTGGTGCTCCTGTGTGAGGCAAGGTCAGGGCCGTCCCGTGCCTCCCTGTGGAAAGGTGTTGTTTTAATGTCTGTCTGTTCCTCACTACCCATTTCTATTGTAATTGGCATTAAGGTGACTTAAGTTTCCCAAACCAAGTCTGTTTTGCTTGTATTGGCAACTGGTAAATGGTCTTCCTGTTTTTGTCTCAACCCGTGAGCTTTCTCATCTTGGTTTCCCGCCCAGTCTTGGCGAGGACGGGGAGTGAGAAAATGGCTGAGTGGGCATTTGGCCCTTAGCCAGGCCTAACCCTGCATGAAGTTAGGTGCTCGCTTGGGTTAAACAGCCATTCAAGTCTCTCTGTGACAGCACATGCCTTGCAGAGGGCTGACAGGTATAACATGGTGGGATCTGTCCCTTCTGGGACAGGTCAGGAGAACCTGGAGGCCCCATGAATTGTACAAGGCACTGACCAACATGTGGGCCTCAGGCCGAGCTCAGAACATGATTAGATCTGCCACAGCAAGTCAGGTTTCTGTCTGTCTGTTTCTGAAGAAAAGGGGTTGATAAAAGCCTTAGCTGATGCACTTATGTGAGTTTGAGCCCTTCAGTGGATCAGACCACTACAAGTCTTGTCACAGCGTTATTTCACTGTACATCACTTTGCTTTTGTTGAGTTTTTATTCTGTGACCTTAGCTAGTTACATTAAGAGTCTGTGTTAAGTGAATTCCCAGTGTTTCACCTCTTCTGACAAGCAGTGGCATGTTTATTTCTGAACATATCGTCATTAAATACAATACACTAAAATGCTTTAATTACTGATGCTGTAAAATAAGTAAAACTGGTATAGATGCAAGCTATTGTAATTTGTAAGAGTGGTGTGTCTTTCAGAGCTAAGTGAGTTGAACTGGAAAATATTTCATCAGACGAATGAAAATTAAGCAACAGTTTTGAATCTGGTTCTAATATGATACATAAATAAGGAAACTCTAAAATTAAATCAGCATTCTTAAGAAAATGTAAATCCTTTTACTGATTACTTGTTGCTAGCAGAAAGCAACTGAGGTTTTCTGAATGAGTTACTTGTGACTGTACCTGTGATGGCAACGGCAGAGAGAGTATCTTGTCTGAATTATGCTTGCTTTCTCGTAAAATTTGCCTTACCATTCGTGAGAATCTCTCCACGAGTTCCTGGGGAATTGGTAGGGAGTTACCTTGTGCCTGGCTGAAAACAGGTAGCAGTGTCCACGAGATGGAAGCAGACACAAATAACTGGACATTTCAAAGCCTGCATAGAGCTCGTAGGCTTTTGTTGTTTAAGCAAATATATGCAGGTACTGTTTAAACTCTTGAATCTGCTGTGTTCACCTGGAGATTATTATTTTATTTTATTTTATTTTATTTTATTTTATTTTATTTTATTTTATTTTATTTTATTTTATTTTATTTTATTTTATTTTATTTTATTTTATTTTATTTTACTTTATTTTACTTTATTTTATTTTAAATATTTTCTCATTGTTATGTAGATTTCACCCTGGCAGTTTAATTTTCTCTGAACTTGCTGTCGTTTGGCATTGGTAGTCATTATGTGCACACTAGCCTATGCCTCCTGGGAAAGGATGGGTGAAAAGTTTCTTGGTTTAAATAGAAAAATAAACCAGATTGATCTTAAATCTGTTTATTGTTAAGTGTTGCATGTCTGAGAGAGGTGGGGGGTGAAACAAAATTTGAGACGTGAATTCACTGTCATGTGTTTCATCATATGCTCACGTCCAGGTATCTATCTCAGTATCTAACTTGTTTGTCTGGCTGGTGCTGGAACCCTTTGTTTTTTGGAGTTCTACAGAGACTCATTATAAATCCTGAAGGAGGCAAAATACCCATCAACTTTGGTTTGAGTTTTGTTTGAAGGCAGACAGCAAGACCTAGTATGTGAATCAAAAACCTGGCAAGGCTAGGAAAGCACGGCTCAGTTAATACAAGCACTTGCATACATTACAGTGAAGACTACTTGCTACCATGTTTATTTTATAGTAGAGTATGTCCACAAATAACAGAAAGAGTTCCTGTAGAAATGAGAGAAATATCTCAGTGCAGTGAACTTTGATGATTTTTGGAGTTCTGAATTTAGCGTTTGATTTCTCTGCAGCACTGAAGTTTCCTGTCTCACAAATTGGGCAGTATATACTGAAAATATAACAAACCTTAAAAATCATTTTTAATTTATTCAGGAAAGACCCATTTCTGACAGTGTGTGTCTCCTGTTCCTGGTAACTTGACTCAGGGCTCACAGAATTGGCTCCAAGGAGCTTGGGTTTACTGTTAGAGCCATGTCAGAGCTGTTGGTTTTTCCTCAGGCTAACAGTCTACATCTGATTTTTATTTGAAATGTTTTTCTTTTTCATATTTAGCCTGGCATTGTTTTATATGTGTGTGAATGTAGTAATTGGATGATAATAATAATTGGAAACTGATGCTTTTGAAGTTTTCCAAATGAGCAGGGTAAAACTCATGATGGCCCCACATTGTTGCAGTGATTTCAGTACAGATAGGATGTTTTGGGGTGCTGTAAGGTACTTTTAAAACTGGGGGGTTTATAGAACATTACAGGTATCTTTTTGCAATCTCTGTGGTCTTTGCATTTACTTCATTTACAGAACCACTAGAAGGCCAAATGTATATTTTTGGAGGGGACTCGGAGTCACTTGGAATGAAAGGAAGTTTGCATCCCCAGAGATGCACATGACCTGGTATCTGAGTTGCAAAAGAAAGCTAAAATATTGCAAAGCCTAATTTTTATGAAGTTATCAGCAAAGTAGTACCATGAGAAACTCCTGCCAACATGCTTTTTTGGTGTTACAGCAGAATGGCAGGAAACTAAAAAGCTAATGGATCTACCTCACCACGTCCAACTTCAATTTTTGGTTTTACTTTTATTTAACAGGAGTGGGACTCCAACTCCAGCTTCGGATGCTGATGTTACCACACTGAGAGGTCAGTTTTCAGCTAAATTATGTCAAGTCTGATTACTTGAAAATGGAACAACCTGATGGCTTGTGGATTTGAGAGCTGTGAATTCTTCCATCTCCAAATAATGCTGTTTGTGATCTGGTGATCAGGTTGCTGTTATTTTGTGATGAAATGAATTGAAAATGCTACTTGAGAAATTACTTCTGTGCAATTTTTACTGCACTTACTTCGTGTTGCCCAGAATACATTCTCTTAGAACATTAGCATTTGATTCTGACTAGCATATTTGATGCTTTTTCTGAGGCTCTTTGGGTGTTTTCTGTGGTATTTCTGTCATGATGATGGGAATCGAGTGTTACTGTTAGTTTACACTTGCTGAACTCGTGTGTATCTACATGTACATGAGAAAAAATAATACTACTGCTCTCTTGCAAACTCAGATGCAGCTGCCAACGTTCCTCCCCCTCATGAGGTGTCCATTGAGAGTCCTGCAGGTGGTACCATCCCTGAAACTGAAGATGCAGACACAACTGTGAGTGCTTGTATTAAGATTTCAAAAAAGCAGGGCATGAACCTTAGAAACTTTTAAATAATTTCCTAGGTAGGTGTTCTTTTGTTTGCAGTGGCTTTGCAGTGTAGCTGCCCCCTCAGTGAGAGAGCAAATCAGCTGAGCTGTCAAGTGAAGATTTTGATACTGATGTAGAACTAGACAGTGAATATCTAGGGCTTTTGAAAGCTCCATGAAGAAATTGAATTGGTGTTATTCCTATGGAAACACAATGCCCCTTAAATTGCTGCCCTAGTGTTAGAATGGTCCGAGTGGTACAGCTGCCTAAGGCAGCAGAGGTAGCCTGGATAGCCTGGAAGAATCCTTCTGATTCCCTGCTTCTTTTTCCCTGCTGACATAGATGAATTTTTATTTATTGTCTTACAGTCACCCTCACCTTGATACCTAAAACAAAACTCTAACACAGGGAAGCCTAGAGCAAGTACTTGAAGCACCTCTGTAAAAGTGAGCTGGCTTTCAAAAGTGCTGACCACCAAATAGGTCCCAGGGAAGTATTTGCTTCCAGGAGACAGCTCCTCGGGATTAAAACTTAAGCCCAAACTCTAGATTCCAACTGCGGTATTTGTCAGCCTACATGCCCCCTGAAGAAAATTTTTCAAACGAATAGTATGCATCAGCTGGCACTTGTTTTTATGTAAGTGTGAAACTCTCACTGGATTTAGTGATGAGCTTACAAAATTGCACATGCTGCATACAAGTAGAAGCTGATTTATGGTACTGAGTTTAACTGTGCACTGTTCTGTAGCCTAGCACGGCCATGACACGAAGCTGGGCCAAACTCTGTGCTTTTTGCTAGAGCTTTCACAGCTGACTGCTGAGATCTGATATTGTGATTCCAGGAATAAACACTGAGTATGAAATAGGCAGACAGCTTCTGACTCAAGTCCAGGGTCTGATTTTATATTTATGTACCACAAACGAGTGGTTTGGTCCCATGTACACCATTATTCTTTTTTTGAAACAGAACTGCCTGAGCAGAGAGTAAGACCACTCAGTAAATCAGAAAGAACCCAGAATTTGATTGCTGCTGCCTACAGTGTTTTCACTCTCTACAGTTACCTCACATCTCATCATTGCTCCGAACAGCCAAAATGCACTGCAGGTTACAAGACCAAGAGCGAGCAAAGCTCATCTTCTGCACTCACGTGTTGACTGGACTTTTGTTTCTGAGGGACTGATAAATGACTCAAACTACGTGGAGTTGCAAACAGTCATGTAGGAGCAGCAGATACATGCAAGCTAATTATATATTTGCCAAATACTAACCAGCTTTAAGCAGGGTGCCAATCATTCTGGTTCTTAATGAAGTTGTTTAGTCAAAAAAGGGTGTGGGGAAGAAGAGAATTTAAGTAAAACTTAAACTTTACTTAAGTAAGTAAGTAAATAAATAAATAAATAAAATTGGAGGGGCCCTAAATAGTATACAAGTTGCTCACAGGTGGCAGCTAAATTTTGTGGAGCTCCATTTTGGACTCCATACATAATACAGACTGCAGTTTTGCTGAAAAAGTGTGTTTTGCTGGCTCTTTTTTTTTTTCTTTTTAATAGGGAAAAAGCAACAGTTGTATGTCAATAGCCAAAGACATTCTTGTTAACTTACACCAGCCTTCCCTCTCAAATTGCAAATTCCAAATTTTTGTTCTAGAATAAAGCCATGAAACAAGATCTGTTTTTTCTTGCCTTTCAGTACACCACAAAAATATAGTATCCTGGTTGTAAAATGCCAGGGAACTAAGCAGGAAGCACTCTTCCTGTGTTGCTCACTGACTGAAGTTAGATGAAAATTGGACTGGAATTCACTGCTGCTAGCAGCAGCCGTGGCAGTTCCCGAAGCTGAACATCCCAGGGTGTTTGTACACCCTGGACATGGGGAATGTAGAACTTGGCAGAGGTTCATCTTCCAAGTGGGACAGGAAACAGGAACCTTGTGATAAACGGGTACATTTTGGGTAAGTCAGCCCCCTGCTGATTAGTCTCAGGTGACCTGTTGGTGTATCCACATTCACACTTTAAATTGCCTGACGAATGTCCCACCCAGCTGATTTTCTGTTTGTAACTCCATTCAACTAGATAACCTTGCACTTAAATGTGCAAAGGGAGAACAGAACTAACAGCAACATGAGAATACTATAAAATTGTCTTGCTCGCTAGGTTGTCTCATTAGTTGGCATCTCTGTGCCTGAGGCTCCCTGAGCACTCCATTCCAGCGTAAGGCAAAAGGTGTGCTGGGGACTCAAAGAAACATGCTGTGCTTTGGACTGCAGTTCCCACATCGTTAAATAAATTCGTCAGGCCATCTGTTTGGCCCACCAGTCATCAACCAATGTGTTGCTGTCCTTACAGCATTTATGGAGGAAGCTCGGGGTTTTTGCCACATCATAGGCCAGAGAAAACTCCAGGTCTGCAGTGGCTGGAGAAGTTTCTGGCCCGCATAAAAGAGGGTATTTGGACCCAGGCTGAGTAATGGAGTGTGCTGACTGCTGACAGGACCATTTCTACATGCAAATATATCTGGGGATGCTTTCTACATGGAGTAAATCCAGGATAGGTAGGAATCTGGTCTGCTGGTCTGCAGTGAGTAAAGTGGATTTATTTCTTCAGGAAAAAAAAAAAAAAAGAGGGAAAAAGTCACTAAATCACCTCTTGTCTTCTCCCTTCTCTCATTTTCTTCCAGATCAATAATGAGATAAAGAAGGAGGATGAGAATCTCATGAGGCCTGTAACTGAGCGGATGATTGAGTTCAGCATTGTGATTGTTGGAGAAAAGTACAGCGAGGAGCTGAGTGACCCAGACACCGTGAAGCGTCAGCTGCTCTCTGAACAATTTGTTTCTCAGGTGACTTACCTCTTTCTTTTTACTCTCTTTCTTTTTTACTCTCTTTGTCTCTTTCTTTTTACTCTTTCTGCAAAGCAATAGTAGCACCTGTACCAGGACTGCTCTGCAGAACCAGCTTAGGGCTTTTGTTGCTTGGGGCAGGCTGGAAATGCTCACTGTGAGAACACCCTCTTTTGTTTGACATGCTGCCTTTTTGAGATAGTGGGGCTGTGTGCAACATACCAGTTGCCAAACAATGAATCCAGTTTTCTTACTGTGTTTCTTATGAAATAGCCTGCTACCAGTTTTTGCAGAGGTAGACATATGGTTTTGGGGAGATGAGAAAATTATGCTAAGCTCCTGCATATTTACTCCAGGAAGAGACCTTTCTGAGGCACTTCCCCTGCTCCTGCCCCTTTCTGCTCGTATTTATTTTGCCTTATGTTAGCAGAAGAAACTAAGCCAGGTGTTATTAATAAATGAAAGAAAATTGCTCTTCGTTTAGTTCTTTTAAAGACTTGCTTTTACCAGGGCTAACTTTGGCCTTGCCATCCTTGCAGAACTTTTAAGTCTCTCTCCCTATCAGTGTTACAGAAGTAGAGGTTTAGAAGTCACAAAGAAGTGACAAGTTTCTCATCTGTCTTTTGGTGTAACTCCGTCAGTTCTTAAAGTTCTGGGTCTTAAAACTCTTTAATTTAAAGATGTATTTAACATCTCTCTGGTGACCAGTCTGCCTAGAGTTTTTTTCAGAGCTTTTTCATCTTGTTTAGTTTTGAATTCTTCCATAATGTTGTTGCTTTGAAACCGGGAAGTGAAAAAGATTATTTGAAGGTCTTGGCAAACCAGGCTGCCCACACTCTCCCCAAAGGCAGGACGTGAATCAGCAGCAGTTCAGAACCATCAGCCTGAGCTGGGGCAGTGCTGGAAGGCAGCTCTGGCAGGTCAGGTACAGCACAGCGTCGTGTGCAGGGCAGGCAGAAGGCATTCAGGTCTGTCAGCATCTGCTGATGTGGGCATGGCTTGGGTTTCCTGCAGGAGCTGAGCACTTCAGCGGGATTTAGGAAATCTCGGTGGTTACACAGTGTCCAGATTTCTGATTGTAGAGAACTCCAGCTTCAAGCAAGAGCATCTGTCTGTGCAGAGTAGGTGACAGGTGGGGAAGTCACAAACAACAGAACTTGTCCGTGATTTCCACTCAGGAGCAGCATTTCGTTGAAAGAATCACTGCGTACTGCAGGGAGATACTCTTTGAAATCCAGGCTGCTAAGACAATTCTCAATCATCATTTATGTCCGGAATCAGCAATGCCTATAAGAACATTTTAAAACCCTCCAACTTCAGAAAAATTCTTAAGCACATCCTTTAATCCCACTGGAGTCAGTGGGAATGAACTACGGTTGAGACTGTTAGGCACCAACTTCAAAGAAAAATTGTATGTGTGCACATATATATATATAAACAAATATATATATATAAAGCATATCTATACATATGCATATATGCACGATTTATTAAATCTTCATTTCAAGTTAACTTAATCTGAATTAAATTGAATGTTTTAATGTCTTTCCTCTCCCTACTGTTCCCATTCATTTATTTTATTTTACTTTTCATTTATCATGGTAATCTTACAACCATAATTTTCTTGGGGCAGAAAGTTTGTCTTTCCTTTCTCTTGGGAGAAGCATCTAGGGTGCCAAATGGTAGGGTCATCTTTTTTCTAGCTTTGCTTCCTTCTTTGTCCCATTTAGTTGGGGTTCTCTGTTGAATCCCTTTAACTGGTGCTAACCCTGTGCCAGATCCTGGGCCAGATGGGAAAGAGATGTACTCACCACTGGAGCCAAAAAGCATCACCACAACTGTCACAAGTTGCTAGCATAGGCTAGACATCTTAATTTTCCTAGTTGTGTGGCCAAGTAGCAATGCCATAGAGTGTGTTGTGTGGAAGAAATGTCAGATGGGATGGAGTCCACCTGGCACATGGATGTTCCACTCCTTTGATCCCTTGCCTGGTTTTCTTTCTGCTTGGATAAAGAAGCTCCTTTAAAAAAAAAAAGAAAAGAAAAGAAAAAGAAAGAAAAAGAAAAAGTCAGCCGGCAGCACTCAGGTTGTTTAACTCTCACCAGAGACGGTTTAAAAATAGGGAGACTGGAGAGGGGAAGGGGAATTTGAGGAGTGAAAAATAATCCTCAACTGGCAAGGATCTTTGGGAGGAAAAATACAAACTGGCATGAACCTGCAGTATTCTATTTCTTGTCTTTGTCAACACAGTTGAGTATTGAATTGGGCCTGGACATACCACCATTCTGCTGCCCCCGGTCTTCATTTCTGAGTAGCAGTGCCAGGCACTCCTGCACCCTCTGTATGTTTAGGGCAGCGGAGATGGGCCGCGTTTTGCACTAAGTAACGGATTGGGGTGTCTTTGACGTCTGAGGCCCCAGTTCCTAAGGTGGCTGTTGCTGCTTCACTTGTTTAGCTTGCTAAGGTCCAAAGCATTTTTCCTGAATTTGTTTTAATCCGAAGAAGTTTGGGAAGTAATGGAAACCTTTGGGGAAAAAAAAGGGTTTATGCTGCATAAATAAAAGAGAGAATATCATCTGCTCGTCACAGATGTTGTACAGATCTCTGCATTTTTCTGTTTGAATTTTCCCTCTGAATATTTATATACACCTCTTGGGGAATGCTCGATATTGTGCTTCGTATTTTTCTCTTTTCCTTTGCAATAATGAAACATCACCGAAACTCTTCTTCTCTAAAGACAGAGAATATTTAGCCATGTTTTTCCTAATAGAAATAGCAGCTCAGATGCATTTTTAGAATTTTAGAAAATGTTGAAAATACTTCTTGCTTTTTTCTCTATAAGGAGGAGGGTGGAGGAAATTTGTGTTATTTTTTTTTTTCCCCTCAAAATAGATCCAAAAGGTATTTGAAGGACTACCTGGATACAAAAACATCCGTGTCCTGGAATTCAGGTAAAAAGATCCTGATGTGTATGTGGTGGTTGAAACTGAGCCCGTCGAAGGTGCGATGTGCTAGCACCACAGCTGGAAGAATGTCAGTGCAAGGGATTTCCAGGATGTGTTAATCAAAGAACAAGTGCTTTCATACTGGTGCCTTCATATGTACAGAAATCAAAATAGAAATACAGAAACGTATATAAATGTAGTTGGCTCTTTTCCGCTGCTGGCACCCATCAGAGAAGCTCACATGATATGTTTGCCTTCAGTTTAAGATTCTGACCTAAAATTAAAAGAGGTGTTTTCTAATTGAAAATCACCGTCTGATACTTCCTCAAAACTTTAGACGTGTCCTAGTATTAAACAAGGAAGAACATGGGAATCTTTTGGGAAAAATGTGATATATTTTCATCTCTTTGCAACTTCTTAATGGGATGGCTTAATTTGGTTGTTAATTTGGTTGGCATTTGAGGTATATAAAGATTTTTCTCCTTTCGCTCAAACCAAAGGTGGGTGAATAAATATTTGATAAATGATCTGAAAACTTTAACTTATAAATATTGCTTAAAAGAATAGTTTCCTCAAATCAGTTTGTACTTCAAAATGGCATTTTAAGTTAATTTCAGAAGAAAAGGGGGAGATTCTGCGTGTTATGTATCAAACGTGATCTGTGAGTTTTGGTATACATGAATCACAAATTATGATCGGACTTGAATGGACTGGATTTAATTTTAAGAATCCAGTCAGGCTTTTCATGGGTCAATCTAAAAAATGTTCTCTATTGGGACTTTGTAAGCTGTATTTCTTAAAATATTCCAGCCAATAAATTCGAGCCAGGATATTTCCGGGTAACAAAAGCAGTTATAGCGAGGAAGGTTTTATGGTTGGAATCATATGGTGGGGCACTGTTCCAGCAACATTGTCAGAAGTACCAAAAAAGGATGGTACAGAAATCAAATTATGAAATGCCTGAAACAACGAGGCAGGAATGTCCCCCGTGCTAATTGCCCAAATGGATTGATAAACTCCACTTTGTTGTGGCCCGCTGTAGGAGAATAATTACCTGACCTGATAAGACTGATTGATAGATACGTAAGTTTTCCCTGCGTCAGCAAGGAAAACTGAATGACACTGTCTTCAGCCCTCATGGGAGCCTGGAGGCACGTTTGGCTTTTCAGTTCCTACTTTGACTTCTGGCTAGAACCACAGCAAACCGGGGTAATGACATGGGGAAACCCTGCTGAAGCTCTGCCTGGGAGGTAGCAAAACCTTCCTTCTCAGTATTTGCAGTCTAATACGTTGGAGAGCCCTCCGTTCATTTCAGAAGTGAAATAAAAGGTTGGTATTCCTGGAAAATTCCAGAGATTCTTTCTGTGCTCTGATGCGCATGAGGAAAAAAATGCGTTTGTAAACTGACCTTCAGGTAGAATTAGTTAGTGAGCCTTGTTTCTCTTGGTACTGATGGCAATTTAACTGCCTTACTTGCAGTCCTGTGCAGTGGCTCTGCTCTGCTGGTTCCTTGTGACCAATAGGAAGTATTTCAGTTCAGTAAAAGCTGAACAATTGGTTATGCAGCAGATCGACTTTGCAATTTATAAACACTTCGCTGTATGGATTTTGAAATTTGTGTGCACTGTAGAATGTAAAGGCAAATTTGGTAAAGCTGAACTTTAAGGAACTGGTGACGTTGATTTAACAGGTTTTGCTGTTGTGTTTTGTTTTTGTATTCAGCTCTCCTGAGGAGGACAGGTAAAGACATTTTTATACACATTGTTATAATACAGAAGGAAAAGCGCCTTAGCTGGATGACACTGACTGTCTTGGGGATTTGTGGTTTTGGCTCACAGCGAGATAGTTATCCAGCATAAATACTATGTGAGGGGGTTCTACCAGCAACTGCAAGTAACTCATCTGTTCTGGTTATGAATACACTTATATTGCTTATTTAAATGCTGCTTATAAGAAACTTCTTGAGGAAAACCATCCTAAACACAAGTCAGCTACTGGGCTAGCTTGTGTATAGGAGCCTCTTCTGTGAAGAAAACAAAATTGTTTAATGACGACTCAAGGTCTTTCTAATTAGCATCACAATCTTGGGTAGATATGATTATTATTAGATAAATTAAAATAAGTAAGAAAACCATAGTTATCCAGCAAAGGCAATTGGCTTAAGCTCCTTCAAGGCTGGATTTGCTGTGCATCTTAGCAGTAATTTTACAAACATTTCTTAGCAGAAGATGACATCAGTCTTGACTTGTTTTTTTGGCAGATATATGCGAGTTAAGCATCCTAAATTTTCCTCTTTCAATATTATTTGAAGAATTTCACAAACAAACAAAAAAGAACTGTGGCCTTTAAATTACTGGAAGTATTATTTTATTTTGTATATTTCTCAGTAAAGCCCTAGCCAGTGTCCACAAACAGTTGTACAGAGAATGAGCATTTAATTTTAGAATGTTTCTGAACAAAGAAAGGTATTGAGCAAATCTGTTCACAAGCAACAGTGACTGACAGCCAACCTCTGTTACTCTGCACTTCTGCGGACTAAGATGCGTGCAGCAATTCGAAGAGGTTATGTCCGAAATACCAGATGTTATAGCCCTTTCCAGACAGATGGTGGTGTCATTGTTATTACTTAGCAATTATTAACTGCAACTGACAGCACAGTTGTGTTAAATGTAAATGTTACTTTCTGACTAGCATGCTGTATGGCATCTTTGCCGTGCCTTTTTGCTACTGCTGTCCTTTTTCATTCCCTCTACTGACACTCAGTGCTCATGATGAGCCTGCAGTGGGCTCATTTCAATAATAGGGCCAGCAGCAAAACTCCAGCAGGTTCCTGGTTTTAGTTCATGTGTTTGCTGATTGTGTCTTTGTTGTACCTGGCACTGGGGCGTTAGAGCCTTCTCTGAACAGAACCATTGCTTTGGTAATTTTACTTTTAGTCCAGCTTTGTGGAATGAAGGAAACCCATCTTTGGAGCACGTTTTCCTAGCACTTCATAGATTACTTCATTTCTTGCTGTGCCCCATGTACAGCCAAAGTATGCTCTATTTTCTAAGACTCCCTTGTGCTTATGCCCAGTGTATGGCAAATCTGGTTGCTACCAACTCTGTCATGTGGAAGAGGACATCCAGACATAGGTTGGAGAAGAGCATGGAGAAAACGGAGGAGACTTAATATGAAAAAGCTAAGCTGTACATAGATACGAAACTTTGTTAGAGAATTAATGATCAAATGAGACTAGAATAAATGCTTCTAATTATAAGGTGTATGAAATGCTATTTGAGTGTTGCTAGAGGCATTATTTCAAGCAGATGGACACTGCACAGTGACAGTGATCAGGGCTCCCGCTTGCTGCTGTATTGCTACTATACACAACCTGTCTTCCCAGGCTCCTTTCTTACCACGGATCCATTCCCATCATGGGCATGACGACCTTAAAAGCATCACTCACACCACTGCATGTTGGCGGGTCTACTGATAATACAGGCAAAAAGCCATCAGTTTGGTCTCCTGGTAGTCCTTCTGCCCTTCAGAAGTAGAAATACAGGGCTGTGACCAGGCCAGATGTTGTGTTCTGGTAACCTTTTCCATGAGAAAACACAGGTAGGCAGACACAAGTGTGAAAAGTAATATAATTAATTAATTTTACCTAGAATCCTTAAAAACAACGTATTTGTATTTTTAAAGAAAGGGTAGGGACACAGGTTTTTGGAAAAAAAAATCATAGCATTTGCCATGGAAAGCCTTACATCTCTCATGTGTGTTTTCTCTCTTTGCGAAAACCCCAGTGGGGTGGAAGTGCACTATGCTGTTACTTTTGATGGAGAAGCCATCAGCAATGCCACCTGGGACCTGATTAACCTTCACTCCAACAAGGTGGAGGACAACTCCTTTATGGACATAGAGGATAATCCAACAGTTGTTTACACCATCAGCGATTTCCAAGATTATATTGCTGAAATTCTCCAGAAAAATGCCTTGCTTGAAAACACTTCCTTGATTTTAGACCCAAACTCTCTCCAACTTATTAATGGTGAGTCTTACTTACGATTCATCTGCCCTCTGAATAACTAAAAAAAATCACAAACACGATGGTGTTGCAGTTGGTTTTGCTCTAATTTTAACCAGGTCAAGTCAATAGCAGTAGCATCCCATTGTCAATCCCTTAGATTTGTCTCTTTTTTTCCTTTGACACCAAGGTTTGTGGTGTGCAGTAATATTATCAGCAATTAACAGGAAGAGAAGGGGAAATGTGTTTCACATGATGCAGTTTGCTTTCAGCACTTTAGGTTAGCAGCTCTGCCTTGGCCTTGAGCAGCACAAAAGAAATACTTGGCTTATTGTTGAATATTCAAAGGTCCTACCATAGTTGGTAGAGCAGTGCTGTCCCACTCCCCTGTTCCCATCTTTTCTCTGCACTTCTTGTGTGTAATCTGTGGGTATTTTCGAGAGAAAATCTTTCTGGCAAACTTGCTGAACAGGTCTCACAGATCTGAGATGAGGAAGGGTTTTTCAGCCTAAACAAATTGTTCTAAAACAGTTTCTTTGCACTGCTACTGCAGCATTTTGAACCTATGTACTTATATTTTCCCAGTGAAAGAAATACTACACCCTACCCAAGCAGATCCATCCTGGATTACTGAGCATCCAGGTGTGTTGGAGCGTGCGGAGTTTGATGTGAGTATGGTTCTGAGCAATGACCTTTTATTTGAGGTATGTCCTTTGCACGCATTTGAACAGCTTAATTCAGCAAAATGGCATTAAAGCCAGCACCCAGAGCTTCTCTATCCTATTGATCATGCAGAATACAGTCAGGAAAGGCACACCATATAGTGGAAAAAAACCTCTGGTGAAATCTCTCACCTGATAATTTGTTACCTGTGCACAACGCTTTTCTGTGATCATCTTATATTACCTGGCACATTGTTGTGTTTCTGGCTGTGCAGCCGTGTCTTGTTCTTTAGGCTTCCTTTGTCTGTTTTTTTTTTTTTTTGTTTGTTTGTTTGTTTGTTTTTCACAATGTTTAATTAGACTGTAAATTGTTCTAAAAACATAATTTGTTCCACAATCCTGCCTTTCTTTGGAAAGTGAGAAATAAACATAAGCAGTAAAGCTGCCTGTGAGAAGAGATAAAGGTAAATTTCACATGCTCCTTTTGTTACTATTTCATTTTCCCTACAAGTTCTTACTTCAGGTTTTAGATGTCCATCCCCTTGATGCCAGCAAAGGAAAAACAGAAAAAAAATAATAGCCACTGGTTTATTGTATTCCATTTTTAAAAGTGTGCATTTATCTCATGTGATTACCTCTGGAACAACCCAGGACATAGAATCAGGCTCTCATTGGACAGGAGAGTTAGTATCCCTGAACATACTTGTACCATGCAATGGGGCTTCAAGCAGAGGTGCCATGTTAGGTGCCAGCAGTGCTGAGATTGAGTGAGTTTTGCTGACAGCTAGAATTTCTGAACGGTGGAACATTGTCTGGGCTTAAGAATTTATCCAGTAGGTTTCTGCTCTGTTGAGTAACACAGACGTGCCTTCCAAAAAGAAATGAGCTCAGTTCATGCCGCAAAACCCAGATCCAGCTAAGTTTGATGGTAGGTTTTTCACAAAGCTCATTACGAGATACTGTTGTGAATAAAACCATGCTTTATTTCAGGCCAACCTCTAAAATCATTGTAGAAGCAAAATTTTCAGTGACTTCACAGAAGCCAGCGATTCCTGTTCTAATGGTCATAGGTATAATATCCTTAACTTCATGCCAGTTTTCCCAGAGTTTTAAAAATTAACCATTAGTATCTAAAAAGCAAATTCATTCATTTGCCATAAATGGTTTAATCTTGATGTGGATAAATAGGAATTTAATGTAACTTTCAGGAAGGGGCTTTCTATTTTCTAGAACTATCTAACTGGATTAAAATGTTACATATGTTTATTTTAGTAAGATAATTCTGCCATTTTCACATTCTCTTCTGTGGATACTTGGACATATACAGGCAAGAAGATTTTAGAGTAGAGATAGCTTTGCAATGTTACTCCATTTTAAATCATTTTTAGGGAATAGTATGTACAGGAAAAAATACTGGATGTTACATTTTTCTAATCATGGCCTATGAATAATAATGTTATCTCTGTCTTCAGTCAAAAATTGTGGTTATATACAAAGTATATACAAATATACTGAGTATATCCAAGAAAATAGCTGTGTACAATCTGCAATACACAGATAATTTGGGAAGTAATTTCAGATAAATTTAAGAAAATCATAAGCTGCTAAAACAGTAAAGAAGGCCAAAATGATTAGTCAGTTATTTGCAGAGATATCAAACCTTCATGGTTCAAGTAGATGCTGTTAAGTAGAACCATTACCTGTGAGAAAGAGTTTTGCTATTATTTTTTGCAGTTGATTTGGGAATGAGTTGGATTTGTATTATCGTACAGGGTCATGACATAATGTGGAACTATCATTACTTCACCATCTTATTGCTAGCAGATGGTACCAACTAATCATTAATTCCTTTCTTTGAGTTTTACAGATCTCTTAAAAATGAATAAAAATGGAAGTGTAGCTTTTGAAATCTGCATTTTCTTGTTATTTCTGTTGAGCTCTAACAGGTAGAATGCCTTAGCTTATTGAGCACAATGTATTTCTGGCAGCAGAAAATGGAAAATCAGGGAGGGTGTTCTGTGTTTGCAGTCATCTGTCATATTTGTAAGCCTTTCAAGACATTAGCAAAAAACCAGCACTTGCCAATATGATATTAAACTTGTTAATATAATATATAGCACTGTAACAAGAATCTTTGAATAATGTTAGTTGTCATAGGAACATCTATCCACATTAAAATAAATGATGAGGTGCAATTCCTGGCAACTAAATGCTCACATAAAAAATGTATTGAGAAGCTATTGCTGGTAGTCCTTTTTCATTCTTTATGGAATTTATATGTGTAATTTATATGTGTAATTCTAATCTTGCACAGTAACTTTTCTCACAGGTTTATTTATAATAGCCAACTTTGCCAAAAAAGATAATTGCTGGAGCACATGTCTGTATGGTATATATACTTCTCAACTGATTGTTACCATATACATTCAGAAATATGAGAAGACTGTGGTGATAGAACAACCAGCTATAAAAAAACATGGTCAATTCAGGTAGACAAATAGTCAGGTGAAAATAACTTCGTTGTTTCTAAAATGTTCACATACAGTTTGAATGAAGTTGAAAATTTAATTCACTCATGTTTCTACCAGGAGTAAAATTTCAATCTGAAAAGTATTTGGGTTTTCCTATTATTCATTCTAAAATAAAAGAGAGGGATTTGAAAGGAACAGTGAGCTACAGAATGATTAAATCAATAGTTTCTTTGAACTGTAATACGTACTACTGAAGCCTTTGTCTGGCGTCTGCTTTACATGTACTAGCCACCATCAGCAATTAGTTCTTAGTAAATTAATCCTTCTTTCTTCACTTGACAGTTTTTCATACCTCAAGGCTTTTTTTCCCCATTTCTGACTGTTGCACAGCATTGATAGCTGGACAGGTAGCCGTGCAAAGCGCTAATCCCTGAGTTGTAGGCAGTGAGCTTGCTTTTGTAGTCTTGACCAAGTAACTTAATCTCTTCACTGATATTCTGCAATATCATTACCTCATGAGACACTGTGGGAGTAGATTAATATTCAAAGATAAAACGTGTTTGGTATTCTAGCTGTAAACCAAATAGTGACTGGAGCATGGCACATAAGTACATAGTGTGCAGATTGGAGGCTTAAAAAGACATTCTTTTTTCACAGTACATATAAGTTGCAAATTTCATTGCGTATACTCTTTGTTCATCATTACTGCTGAACAAAAAGTTTTCTTTCCATAGAAGTATTTCAGCTTTGAGACTGAAGTTGTTCTACGTTCTAAGTTACATTATGGTTATAGTTCCCCTCTCAGGTTCACATACCAAAACATAAATGACCACCAACCATACATACCTATGTGCATTTGAGTTCAGTTTCTGAACTGTTTTTATGTATGATGATAACTATAATGTTATAATTACTGCATTGATTATGGAGCTGATGAATAATAGCTGCTACGACCTCTTCATGCCTTAGGAAGGAAGGCAGTATTCTGTGTGCTTATTTTCCATTTAATTAGAAATAGTTCGGTTTTTCAGTAAGGAAAAGGAAAGGACATGGTTTGGGTATTGAGGGTAAGTCTCTTAATACGCTAACTGAAGCTGCACTCCAAAGAACTGGAACGGCTGTTTTCCTTTAGAAGTGGCCATGACTGGACACAAAATGCATGTCGCAAGGACGTGCATTGTACGTGTATGTTGAACATTATTAGCACAGGGTACGTTTGCCAATCCTTCCAGCTGAGCCCCTGCTGTTGCTATTGTTACTTCCTCACAGAGGCAATACTACCAGATTTTGCTTGTTTTGCTGCTGGTTAACACCTTTGATATGTTCAGCCCAACGTGGACAGACCGTACTGCCCCTATAATAATGGTTGTGGTTTTGTTTCAGGATAACACCTTTTTAGCTGAACGGCCTTCAGCAGATGAATCAACGGTCAGCAATACCTTGCCCTTTGATTCCACCAAACCAGATTCCACTTCAGATAGTGAAGAGTCCAATGACAATGAAATCCACCGAAGACCAGCAAATCAGGACTCTGAGGCCAGCTGGACACCTGATGCTCCACTTTCCTCCAAAGCTGATGTCACCTCTTCGCCTGATGAGCTGAATTTAGAAGATGGGAATCAGACTCCTCCTTTGGTCACTGCACCAGCATTAGAGCGTGATTCTGTGGACTCCCTGGAATGGCTGTCAGCCCCTGATTCTTCAGATGGTAAGTTCATGCCATTGACTGAAGTGTAAATTTGGACACGAGTGTCCTGTGACACTCACCAAAGGGGTAGTTTACCAAAATGGCTTTTCAGAAAGGTCTACAAATTGGATATATTACTCTGATTGTTTTTACCTTCTCATTTTGATCAAATGCTGGTAACAGGTGATAATGCCTGTTTGCCTCTCCAGGAAATTACATGCACGATGCTTCTTTAATTGCACAGAAATATTTTCATATAGGGCATGATACCATGCAGACATAATTGAAGCAGACTAATTAGCCTAAGGACATACTACACATTAATTGCTTTACTGCATACTCTGCAGCCCTGATTTGGCTCATAGAATATCATAAGGAAAAGTGGAGAGGTTACCAGGGGTCCTTCCAACTTCAGCATACAAAGGTCAGTATACATCACAGGAAACATGCTGAATGCAGATCCACAGCCAACAAAATGAACTGCATTTGACTCTTTTTTGGTATAAACAAAAACTGAGTGGAAACTCATTTATATTTTTAAATATAAAAAATATAAAAATATAAAATATAAACTCAATTATATTTTTAGGGTTTGAAGATACTGGGCTATCAGAAGACTTTATTCTGCCTTCGAGTCCCCCTTCTCACCTCGTGCCTGAAGAACCTCCATCTACAGATGATTACGTAGTTCCCCTGTCTCCTGCATCAACAGTGGCCTCCTCGTCAGTCACGGAGACTGATACTAAAGCAACAGCCTCTGCTGAGGTGGAAAAAGTAACTCAGGGTAGTCCTGCAGACAGTAACAATGCAGACTCTGTGTTGCATAATTCTGTGGAAGAAAATCCTTTTCCCTCAGAATTACACCCTGTAGAAGCTGAAACTGATATTTATCTCGGAGATAGAATTACATATGAAGATGGGTCTGCTTCAGCTTTTGATGGTTCAGGAAAAGAAACGGAATCAAGTATTTGGCCTTGGGAAGAAGCAACGCTGGAACCTGTTTTCTACCCTGGTCCTGATAGCTGGCTTGATGATGATAATGAGTCTTTGTTAATCAGAACTGAGGATATTCCTGAAGGCCTGATCTTAGATTATATTCTTAACTCTCAGAATAAATTAGATGATGATCCTTCCAAAGATGAAAATGAAGGTATGGCTGACATAGAAGAAAATTTTCTTGATGAATCTGAAATATTTGTCTTTCCTGAGACTACAACTCAGCACGTATCTCTGCTTCAGACAGAGGAGCCATTACCTGTGGAGCCATCTACACAGACAGAAGCATCGAGCACATACGATTCTTCTTTTGTTAAACCAGTCCTCATTCTGGAGCCATCAGAGGACTATTCCTTTGTAGACATGCCAACTGGAGAAGCCCCTGTCTCAACACACAACACAGATGTGTCTGTTGAAGATGATAGTCTCCTTACACCTGCAGTACCCCTCAGTATGGACAATAGTCCTACATCTACTGCAGCACTCAGTACGGACAGTAGTCTTACATCTACAGTAACCCTCAGTATGGACAGTAGTCTTGTATCTACAGTAACCCTCAGTGTGGACAATAGTCTTACGCCTACAGTAACCCTCAGTACAGACAATAGTCTCACATCTACCGTAAGCCTCAGTGTGGAGCAACCTGAAGAGTCCAGTGTAGGTCAGGAGATCGTTTCTGAGGCAGTTGAACACCAGCATGAAGGCAGGCCAACATCAGAAGAACTGTTCACAGCAGGGCAGTCAGATCTGACTGAATCTGCTACGATAGGCTACTTGGACACAAGCAGTTCAGAAACTATTCTGACTGCAGATCCTTTTGTGGTGAACACTGATACTTCCACAGAAGAGCAGCAAGCCCTGGACACATCTTTGGCAGGCCAAAACACTGGCTCGGCAATAAAGAAACCAGCTGATGTTTGGCCTACTGACAGAGTGCTAGAAAATATATTAGATCAGACAGTAAAATCAGCAACACCAACTGTAGTTGAAGCTGCAACTACGGTTCCTTCTGTAACAGAGCAGGCCACTGTTCTAGAGGGTGTTGCTGGACAGGGTGGTACAGACCACAGCACGCTTGTTTCCACGAGCATCAGCACTGTTAGGAACTCCTACGTAACTGTGAGCGTCACAGCAAACATCGCCGAGCTTCCATCCAATCTCCCACCGATGGGATCCACAGCGTCACCATCGGTGGTTACCTCAGCAAAGGTGGGAGATGAAACAGCCAGGGTCCTGGATGTGTCAGTGGGGCTGGATCACGTCAGCGTTGTCAGCTTTTCTCCTGAGCCGAGTGAGGAGGGAAGGAGCCTGACTGACAGTCACGTGGAGCTGACCACCCGTGCCCAATCCACAGAGATGGCCAGCGTGGCGTGGGCCACGCGTGAGAACCACAACAGCACTCCTATCCCATCACGAGCTCTGGTCGTGTTTTTCAGTCTTCGGGTTACCAACATGATGTTTTCAGAGGACCTGTTCAACAAAAATTCCCCTGAATATAAAGCATTGGAGCAACGATTCTTGGAACTGGTAAGAAGCACTTCTCTGCTAAATATCCATTGCCAGGTAGAAATTGTTGGTCAGTCCCAGTTGGTATGCTCTGTTTTGCAGAGACAAACACGAGACAGGTGTGTCCAGATATTATGCATGTCCTTCTATGGGAAAATGCTGTCTGGGAACATGGGGGAGAGGGGAGGTTTTTGTTTTGTTTTTATTCAGTCACAATTCTGTCTCTCCAAAGCTCATTATCTTAACTGTGATACGTGCCAGATGCTCTGCTGGTGTCAGTAGATGCAGCAGGGTAGCTGAAGCCAGTACAGCATTCCATTCAATTGCTTCTGGAGTGCTCTGGATTTAGTCTATGGGGAGAGAGAAGTAAATAAATTGGGCCTGTCAGGAGATAACCTTTCTGCAACATATTCAACCCACCCTAATGAAGAGGCAGTTTGGCTGATCTCTTAAAAAGCCAATAGCTAGCTAAGCTTCATAGGAGTAATACAGCAACAATTACCAAACTCTAACCTGGCAGTTCCCATCTCCTGACCGAAATCAGTATTTTGCTATGAGAGATGGAGGGAGTAAAGAAGAAAGACAGAAGGGGAAGGGGCTCGACAGAAATGTCCTTTGAAATGACAAGTATGCCTGGTGCTTAGAGCAAGGGGAGAGCACCGTGTGTGTCACAAGAACTGTGCATATAAATTGTAGACTAAGAAACCATCTGCAAATTGATATTTGGGAAAAGTTTTAATACCCTTACTGTGGGATTTGGGTAAACCGCTTCAGATCCCCGCTGCCTGATGCAATACCAGTGCAACTGGCTTGAGCAGAGACTTGAAGTCTCAGCTTTTCTGTCCTTGTCCCTGTGCTGCAGCTGGTGCCGTACCTTCAGTCAAACCTAACAGGCTTCCAGAATCTGGAGATCCTGAACTTCAGAAATGGCAGCATTGTGGTGAACAGTCGAATGAAATTCGCCAAACCCGTGCCTCGGAATGTCACCAATGCTGTGTACATGATCCTGGAAGACTTCTGCAACACTGCGTATCACACCATGAACCTGGCCATCGATAAATATTCCCTGGATGTGGAATCAGGTAAGGATGGCAGAAAAATGCAGTTTTGGGGCAAGGGATTTAGAGCTACTTTTGCTTTAAGAACTTGCTTAGGATTCTGGCAGCTCAGAGATCGCCCACTGGAGTTTAGGACAGACTTTCACAGAGTTGAAGTACACAAACAGAAGTCTGTTATGGGACTGAAGACATGAAAAGCAAAATGGGACACGGACTGAGCAAACTGTATGAGGGCCTGTATAGAAATACAGGAACAAAACTTGCTTATGTAATTGCCACTGTGCTTTTACCAAGGAGTTGGAGGAAGATTGGTCAGCAAGGGCAGTGGTGTCCTTCTCTCTTGAGCTTATCTTCATGTATGGTTTGGAGTTGCTCCATGGGTCTATTCCCACTGCTGGCAGCCCGTTTAGCTGTGAGGAGTCTGCAGTGATACTTTCTGCTGCCTTATTCTTGTGGTTAGGGCTTGATTGCAGTAAAACATTACTGGCCCTCTTAATTTAGTCTTCTGATACGGGGAAGTTTCTTTGCTGCCCAAGTTAGCCAGTAGTTTACCATATAAGCAGCCTGGAAATATTTCCTGTTTTAAAGTTAAGGAAAATAACAGTGCTGAGCTGATGGCAAGTGGTAGCTGTCCTTCTGAGGTAGCTCTGTTATGAAGATGGTCATTTTTAGCATGAAAAATCTTCTGATACTGATTGTGTGACTGTATGCCAGCCCTCTCAAGCTTGATATGCCACAAATGCTACAAGCTTGTGTTCCTTGCAGACAAAAGCAAATCACCTCACAGTGGGTGCTGTGTCCCAAGTCCCCTTGCCCTTCCCTGTGTGTCGCCTAGGTTTTCTGTAACAAGAAATACTGGAGATCAACTGTGTTTTATTCATTTGCAAAATACAGTTCCAGCAGACAGAGAACATCTGAGGTACTGCCTGTTCCAGTAAGAAAAAGAACATTTTACGCTTGCTTTTTCAATTGGCTTGCTGGGTGGTCTTAGCCGTACCATTCACATGCGCTGCGCAGACAGGAACACTTCGTAGCGCTTGTTCACCTTAGCAGAACCCTTTGAGACTTGGGAAAGACGCACGCTGGGTTTCTGCAGATTATTTTAACCAGGTCATTAGAGAAAATGGCAATGGTGCTTTGCCTCAGTTAACTCTCTCATCGACTATTAACGTTTTCTGCTTTGTGTGTTCTCAGGTGAGCAAGCAGATCCCTGCAAGTTCCAGGCCTGCAATGAGTTCTCCGAGTGCTTGGTGAATCGCTGGAGTGGGGAGGCTGAGTGTGTCTGCAATCCCGGCTACCTGAGCATCGATGGGCTGCCGTGCAACAGCATCTGTGATCTGCAGCCCAACTTCTGCCTGAACGATGGCAAGTGCGACATCAGCCCCGGGCAAGGCGCCATATGCAGGTAGGTCATCCTGTTCAACACATGGCGAAGCCATGCTGCCTCCTCTGTCCTAGCCTTCCATGAGAGTTGTGCAAAATTCCCCAGGGTAACGCATAACAGGTGAGATGCCAATGGTTATCGGTCATGTAATGCTGCTGAAGGGTTAGTTTGCTTATGTAAAGTTTGGAAATGAGACAGTTACAAACGTGTTTAGTAGAACAGAAATGCCAGTCCGCAAAACTATCTAGGGAAAATAATAGCAATGAATGTATTCAGTTGTTAAAATCACCTTCATTGACCTTTTGAGACAGAACTTCTCTCTGGCAGTTTCCTTAAGTAGCAAAGTGTTAGATAATGTCATAAAGCATGTATGAGTTGATTCTGTTGCAAAAATTCAGATTTGAAAAGCATCCTTATATGTATTAAAAATGGTGCTTTTAATTAAGAAAAACATCATAAAAGTAAAGCATTGGCAACCTGAGAAAAAACATGTGTGGTTTCAAGACGCAGGCCCCCTGGTTTAAATTTTGTGATTTTTAAGATACAGATGCATGTGACTGGGATGCCTGTATTTACAGGTAGGTGAAATGATTCTACAAGACACAGATAAATTGATGTGCACTCCAATACTGCACTTATTTTTTTTCCCTTTCCAGCAATGTAACCGTCTATTTTTAGAAACTACGTACAGCCCTCCACAAAAGCTAGGAAAATAATTACAGAAAAGGAAGGATAGCTACTACTGGTTATTGTTTATTAGTTCAGGTCCTTTTTTTAAAAACTTACTTCTAACTTTTCAAGTCAATCTTACAGTCCTGGCTTCTAACAGGAAAACAATATAATGTTTTTTAATGCTATGAGGCTGGATACTTTCACAGATACAGTATAAATTTTATCTTATTTATATAATACATGAATAAGAAACAAGTATCTGAGCTCAAGCATGCTCTGGCCAGTATTTTTGAAAAATATTTGTAAAGTATTTTTTTTTTGAAAAAGCAGTTTGAAGAAATTCAAATACTGGTTACTAATTTAATAAACTCTCGTAGTAAATTAAGTCTTTTGACATAAATATCTAATGTGTAGTATTAATAAGGCTCAGTACTGTGAGTGCTTGTAATACCTTGCAATTCCTTGATTTTTTTTTATAGTAAAAAGGCCCCAACACCTATAATGCGGCTGTTTATTTGTACTGGTATGTTTAAAGATGATATTAGTTACAGCGGTCATATTCAGTACCATGGCAAGGCAGAAATAATAATCGCTGATTAAGGGAGCAGCTGCAAAGATACACTTTTAGGCACCCCATCTTCTAGTAATTTATTTTGTGTCTTTAATCATTGTGGAGTTTACATACCATAAACATGCTGTTCATTAACACGCCTTCATGTGTATTTGCATTACAAGTATCATTAAGACTACATTTACAGTGTTTACTACATCGTGTGCAAGGCTCTGTCACTGCCTAACTTTTTACTTGGTCTAAACACCTTACAGTTTTAACATGTTGCAGGATTACTCTAAATAGCAAAAACCACAGGCTTTGTTGCCATTACTAATGTTTTGTCCTTTTATTATTTTTCTATCTCTTTTCACTAAACTCCTCAATAACAAAAGAGGCTGTTCACAATAATAATAAAATGTTAGTGCTTAAGCATATAAATATATTTTTAAGATAACTAAGGCACTGTCATAAGAAGAAATGAAATACATCTGCATTAACTTAAGTCATAGTTTTTGGCTGGTGTTTGAATTCCCAGTGTTTCCTTTTTGCAGGTGTCGTGTAGGAGAGAACTGGTGGTACAGAGGGGAGCACTGTGAGGAATACGTGTCTGAGCCCCTGGTTGTGGGTATTGCCATTGCTTCTGTGGCAGGGTTCCTTCTTGTGGCATCTGCTGTCATCTTCTTCTTGGCCAGGACCCTTCGAGACCAATACACGAAGAGCGACACTGAGGACTCTCAGGGGTAAGTGACGCCACCTAATATTTTAAAGAACATCTGTCACTAGGAGGATAGTAATTCTGTCGTAAGTCTTAGCAGGTCATTGACAAGCGACAGGCTGCATGTATACGCACCTCCCAGTGCCAGGCTGCAGAGCTCACGGTTTGTTTGTCGCTCCCCCAGGCAGGGTGACAGCCTCTCGTCCATTGAGAATGCCGTTAAGTACAACCCCATGTACGAAAGCGATACGACTGGCTACAGCCACTACTACCGCAGGTACCCTCAGCTAACATCCTACAGTTCCACCAGCGCAGACACGTCCACCGACTACAGCAGTGAAGAGATAAGGCACATTTATGAAAACAGTGAGCTTACAAAGGAGGTAAGTGACATGGCTTTTATACTGGCAGAGATGTACAATAGCTAAATAAGTCACAACTATGGCTGCTGCAACTACATCGGAGGAGAGAGAAAGGCCTTCTTGACCTGCTTGCTATTAAGCGTATGGAAAGGAATGGGTGTGCTTGGAGGAGTAATGAATTTCACATGATAACAGAGCTGACTGCCTAAGTAGCTGCATGAGGACTGGAGTGGTTTGCTTTAGTGCTAGACATAGTCTTTAGCTTTTTTTCAGGATATAACCATGCAAGTGATAAAGACCTACACTTGGCACGTGCTAAAAATGAGTTCAACAGCTCAACCCAATTCATTAAAAAAAAAAAAAAAAAAAAAACGTTTCTGATACTAAATTCATGTGTCTGTGCCTAAGATAGATTTCTTCAAATCAAATAGTCTCTACGTGAATTTTCTAGGAAAAAAATATTTTGGAAATTGTATTTTTATTGTAGTGAAAATAAGATAGCATTATGTTTATATGTATACACACAAAAAGGAACAATACACTGTATATACAACAAAATGCCTTGTGCTCAGCATAACCGATAATCTCCTCAGCTTGTGCCCAGCAAATACCTGAATACCTTGTAGCAGGTGCCTGGTCCCAGCTGCCGTACCCAGCTTAGCAGAGGCAGTGCAGAACCTCCCCGGGACTGACAGCCCAGCTGCACAGAAGCGAACCCCAAGCCTGGCACCTCCCCGCGCTGTGCAGTGGTGGTGACCACGAGGCCTCAGTGTCCCAGGACGGCTCACCCATGTCCCTGCAAGAGTGGGGCTGTGCCTTACGAAGTCCGGACCAGCGCTGCGCTGCTCTAAGAGCCCAGGGTCACACAGCACAAGGTAAGCTCTGCCTGATAACATCACATCCCAACAACATGAAGCTGCACTGTACTGCTTTCAGCTGTCTGGTGTTATTTGGACTTACAGTGATTTATGTACGCATTTGTTTGACAGATTCATGGCTCTGATGACCATGCCTGCTACTCAAGGCAAGAAGACACCATGCAAATGATCCAGCGAGGCTCTCCAGAAGAGGAAGAGGAATCACACTGAAATCTTTACTGGTTTAGATATGCGGCCTATAGACAAGTAAGTAAGTCTCACTATTGTTGAATTTTAATAAGTATCATTTGGCTGTTGGCACACATGGGCTGAGAACTACAAATAATTATCTTGGTAAAGATAACAGTTACCTTGGCCTTCTTTGTAGGTAGAGGCTGATTTGAGACTCTTTGTGCCTTAATCCTGACTGCAATGTTAGTGCCTTAACAACAGATTTGGTGACTGAGCAGAGGTCCCACATACCTTAACATGCAGTCAAAACTCTTGTCTTAACTTCAAGATAAAATTCAGTTTCTGTACCTCAGGACACGCAACCCCTCTCGGTTCAGCTATTTTTAAATGTTTGAGGCTGGCTGCTCCTGCTGGAGAAATTCTACCCTGACTGCCATGAAGCTGAGATTACCAGAGCTGGGGTTTTTTGCTTGTTTGTTTTTCCCAATAAAAAAAATTGCCATCTACCAAATATGCATCCATTTAAATACCACAGCCTGATTTTGAAACACAGCCCACCGCAGGCTATTGCCCAGTTCAGTAAAGAAAATTTAACTATTAGTTGGCTGAATTCAACGTGGAGTAAACACTAAATACAATTTTTAAAAAGATGGGCACCAATGCCACTAGCATTTCGTCGTTAAACTATTAATCTTCCTATTTCAACAATTAAGTGCACTCTGAAAATAAGCTGTCAGGGAAATAAATAACAGATAAACAACTCATATTAACAACAAATTGTCTATGTACAACAAAATTCTATGTTAGTCACTTAACCTTTACAGAATATTGTTATAATGGAAGCCCTTTTGTGCCCCAGCTTGTGTCTCTGTCAGGAGCAGCTGGAGAGCCAACTATCTCGACTTAACAACACGATGCTGCAGAATTACAGCTCTGCCTTGCTCAGGCACCAGATGTGGTGACTGAACGTCAGCGGTGATGCTTAGTGTTTGGGGAGAGCCTTCCAGTACTGGGTTCTGTTTTGCTAATGCCAGCTGACAAAAGTTAAAGCAGGCAGCCATAGAAAATAACAGCCTCTGCAGTGAGGTTAGGGTTGTATTTATAACAGGAATGCTTTACAATAATGCTGACACCATTTTATCATCACGGTTCTCTCCTACAAACCATTCATGTGCAAACTAAAGAGCTCTTCCCACTACTGCTTTATACCTGTACCATTGCTACAGTAGGCTCCAGTGAAGGGGATAAATGCCAGACAGGAATTGTAAGGGTGCATTTTATTTTTAGTTTGTGCATGTATCTTCTCTTTTTTTTTGTATGTTTGTTGTTTTTTTTGTTTTGTTTTGTTTTTGTTTGTTTGTTTTGCATTGGTATACAAACTCACATTGTCCATTTCAGAGTTAAAGAAAATGAACTTTCATAACCTCTGCCACTTCGGATCACCTCTTTAAAATGTCACTTTACGCAGAAAAGCCGGAGGTAATTGAGATAAACAGACATCTGTACATTTCAGCCAGTCATTTAGAAAACATCTGTATCCATCCATGCAATGTTAAGACTATAAGTAACTTTGCAGTTACATCTGAGCCCATTGCTATGGCAACAAGGTAGTCTTTATCTCCCACATGCTTTCTACTGATTCCTTTTTTTTTTTTTTCTTAAAGCAGCTTCCTGAAATGAAAAACAGAGAAGCAATGATTAAGTTAGTCTCTTTCAAACTTTGGATTCAAGGCTCATGTGAGGCAGCCCTTTCTATTTTCCAGCTGTGGAAAATTTAGAAGCTGATCTGTCTCAAGATGAAAAAATGAACAACTGACATGGAAAAATGTGAACTGCAGTTATTTTCAATTAAAAGAAGTGGAGTTGGTGATCTTGGAACACAAGGGTTTTGCTACTGCAGTTAATTTTCATCTGATCCCAAGGAATTGTACTGCAGTATCTTTCAAACTAACAGAGCTATCTGTAATTTGCTGTTTGCTACAGTGAGAAACCAGTTCAATTCTGCAATAGCCTTTTCCATGCTTAACTTGCATCAAAGCACACAGCTCAGCTTGACTAACTGTTTGGAACTGTAAGCTTTTTATTCTGATAACGTCTCCGCAATATCAGACAGTATTGTGCTAGTGGCCTGCTAGTTTTTGGTTAGCTGCCAAGTCTTGAGCATGGAAGATCAATTAGTATGCTTTTAAAATTTTTATTTAAATTTAACACCAGGTAATATTAACGATGCTAAAAAGAGGTAAGAAGGTTCTATTTGTACTTGAAGGGCCTAATTGATGTCCGTCAGCGCTCCTCTGACACCCATTAACTTTGGAATTCTTCAGTACTTTGAACGTAGCTGCTGGGGATACCTACTTTTGACGGTGATTATTTTAAGTGCTCTAGAAGGGTCAAACCTCTTCAGCAATAATGCTGAAATCTTAACTTCTAGTGCCCTAGCATTTCTAGACCCTTCATACGAAGAATATAGCGATGTAGTGAAGGCTTCATGAGAAAACATTAAAGGAATTAGCCAGACAAGATATTTTACTCACATTTGATGCTGCCTAACGAACTCTGCAAACTGACGGTCTTTAGCGTAGAGCTCTATAATTCGAATTCTGTCCTGAATTTCCTAGAATACAAGGAAGATAAATTTAGGTACATAACAGAAATTAGAATACTCCTGAAATAGCTGAATTCTTTTTCTTGGAAAATGAAACTCATATGCTTTGCTATTTCAATAAGATCTCGAAATGGGGCAGCCCAGAACTAAAATTCTTTATGCTATTTTTAAAAGCGAAGCACTTCATTTTTTGGAGGCCAGTAGTACTTAGCTGTTAAATCAAAACCAGGGCTTGGAGGGAATGTGGCATTTAAAAGGCTTTACCAAAACCATTTCTCTCTCACAGATACTTTTCCCTACACCCAAGCTGGATTCACACCTCTCACCATCGCTTAAGGATTTGCGGTTAGCTCGTGGATGTAAATCCCTTCTCCTCAGCCTGCTAGAGTGAACGCTGGATACCATGTACACAACAAGGAAGGAGAACAATATGATCCATCTCACAGGTCAGAAAGATCTAAACTTCAAAACCTCTGTATTAAAGGCCTGGAGGCTCTGGATTTTCACCATCTCACTGCAACTGTCTTACATGTGGTAGTTGGCATTA